CAAAATGTATGATTTTCCAAGACAATAATTTGACTACAATGCCCCAAACTCTGATTAATAAAATTTTTGTATCAAGTAATTTTTAAGGTTAGAAAAAAACATAAATATTCGAATCTGGTGTTTCTATTTGGCAAAATGTAAACGTTTTGTTACGCGTGCAAAGCACTACGTAAAAAAAAAAAACTTTTACTCCAAACGTGTATTTCGGTACGGGGAAGTTGGGATCAGGATCTGAATCTTCTTATAAAAAAAAAACCCCACTTCGATTGAGTCCGTCCGGCTGAAATATTTCGCATTATATACCAGTTGGGTAGAACACATCACGTTGTTATGCTGTATATATTATAATGATCGTTGAATGTTTTTCATAGATTTGCATGTGACCAAGGATAGATAAACAACAACAATAATAATATGTTAATTTTATATGGCATACGCGTATTGCACATTTGCACATTGCATTAAGTGAACGGATTTTATGTAAAATAAGTGTCTATAAGTTAATTTCAGAATTGATTTGTCAAATTATAGTGAATAAATAAATAATCGCGTGTGTTCGAAATTATAAAACAATATATTATCTATTTCACAATATTAAAAATATCATCGACAATATTTTTAAAATTCAACTGCAGTTGAATTTATTATAATATCAGTTATTTAAACGTCATAATATTGTGTTCAAAACAAAAACAAAAGAATATTTGTAATAAAATGTTAACTGTTTTGAATAAAAATCACACCTGTGAGCAGAAGATCACTAGAATCTAATATCCCAGCCTATCAATCTTTTTGTTTCATAGAAATATAAGTATTATTTAAAAATATTTGACTTTAAGCATAAAAAAAAGGGTAAAGGGTTAAAATTTAAAACCTCCAAAAGCTCATTCTTGATACTAACGCGGATCATGAATACAATTTACCCTAACCTAACATAACCTAATGGAGGTGTCTGTAGAGGTGTACAAAGGTAAAATTACTCTTTTCCCGCATCACCAAAGTGAAATAAATATTGATACTCAACCTAATTTAGTTACAATAGTCACTATCTTCAGAAAAAAATTGTCTAAAAGCGGTAAATTGCTTTATTAGAATATTTCTATTTATTTGTACAGAATATTTTACGTAAGTATTATAATAGTAGAAAACGGTCTGGTTGATAATAGAATTCTAACACTAATATTTAAATTTCGCTCTTCAAAGCGATGACAATATTAATTTCCGGCACAATGTATATTTTCTTTTTCGAAAAAGCAATGTCTATAAAATATAGTTAAGTAAGAACAAACAATAAAATGCGTTTGTGACTTCCGGAGATAAGTTTTCGTGGCCCAGGGCTAATCATTTTTGTCACTTCCATTCCTGCAATATCGGTCTACTGTAGCGTTAATTATTAAAATATAGGTGTATTTATAAAATTTATAAAAAAAATATAGTAACATATAAAATGAATAATATCCTTTATTAAAAAAAAATTAAAGAACATACGTTATCATAATACATATATCCGAAATATTTATAGTTTATAACTTTGATCATGATAAAATGTACAAAAATGGAACAAAATGTTCAAGTATGTACTTAAACATGTTTAACGACGATAAAATATACAAGCTTATTAATTATATTCTCATATTCAATTTTTCCGTACACTTTATATTCAATGGTGAGAATAGCAAAACTGTTTAAATGGTCCTCTGTTCATCTTTATCACAAGTAATTTTTAATCCTATTTTAGTGTTGAGAAGGACCTTTCAGTAGAACAGTTTGAAGTTTGACGGCATATAAACATTTTTGAAACTATATCTATGTAAGGAAATAGATTACTTTTATTAATTTTCTTTACCAGCATACTGATTTCCAATACTATACGTGGAAGTTGTTGTATACTTAAAAGTTAATTAGGAAAATGATGACATTCATTAGAAAAACTTTCATCTAAATCATTATTATGTATTTTACATAGATCATACGCATAAAAATCCAATTCAGAGGATAAAAGAGTTATACATTTCAATAAAAATGGGTTTTTTGATTTATATATTTTCGTAAGACTTTTCTCTGATACAGCATCGAGTTAATCTAAAATGATGACATAGGTGATTACTTTTAATGATTAACGACAATCAAAATGTACTTCTTCTTCAGGACTTTCGTCTTATTGTAACTTCCTTTCTTTTTTTCTTTTTTTCTTTTTTTAATAATTTTTTTTTTTGAAGCTTTTTATAAGCATAATCACTTAACGTATGACCAATTTTATACACAGCACTAGTAACAATAATTTTATTATACGTGTATAATCGTCTATAATTGATAATTGACCATCGACAACTGTCGGTAAACCAAACTCGGGGGAAAAATAGATAAATAAACACGAAGCAAATATATTTCTGCCTATGTAACTTCATACACTGATCTATACTATTGTTGTTATACGGCTATAACTTCATTTACACTTATTTGATAGATGTTTTAAATACAAAAAAAACAATTAAGTATTATTTCCATCAAAAATGTATAATTGTATTCGATATCAAAAAATTAAAGAATTCTATTATATAATGGTATGTAAAAAATTTAAATCAAATCAAATCAATTTTTTTTTTTAATCATCAAATTACTCAAAATTTTGCCACCCTTAATAATTTGATGTTAAGGGCTATGTTCCTGCACGTTAGCCCTACAGTAAATACGTCCCTGGTAAATTTGTTGTCGATTATAATAATCCATAAAAAGAATGTGCTGTCACGTCTTAAAACTTCGTAACTTTATCCTTTATCAAATTTGATATTTGATAATGAAAATCTAATTTTACAATTGGCGTGCTCATAGTATGAATAAGAGTATCGAGTATCATGTACCCCATTTCTTTTTGTTTTTTTTTTTTTTAAATGCATTTATGATATTTGAATTTCCTGTAATTATCATCTGGTTGTTTTACTGATAATTTGTTAAATCTTTATGAAATTACCGAAAAGCCTAAATAAATTGACATAGTTTTGTAATTTTATGATAATGTACCTAAAGTTGTTGTTCAATCTGATATATATTTTAAAACATTAGAATTGAAGTATTTAAATTTGTATCCTCACCTTCCGTCCAAAAAAGTTGCTCACATTACTGATTGATATAGATGTTACGAGTACTTATGTCGTCATACAATGAAAACTGACAAACATGGAGCTCTGAGAAACCGAAGAAAATGTCAGTGCACCATTTCTGTTCGAGTTCGGTTTCGATAAGAAAAATGGATTTAAAAAAATAAACGTTCTTTTCTATTATATTATTATATTTAATTTAAATCAAAATTTACTCGTAACCGAATGAGAAAATTAAAAAAAAAAGACCGCATCGTTATATAATATTATGAATAACGAATGAATCAAATGGAAAAAAAAAAAACCCGTAATTTATTTCTTATATTTTAAACGCGTGTTTAAAAGAAATACATTTCAAAGCGTTATAATAATGCCAACAACAAACTCAAAAGAATAAAATACTAGCGAATATGTAAATAAAATGAAGAATACATATGTTTTTACTACACACTTGACTTTGGGTCTTTGAATATATTATACAGGAATTTAATTTTTCAATTAAATTAAATTTGAATGAATTACTTTAATCCACCTATAAAACAATTTCAATTACCGAGTTTCATCTTATTTAGTCTATATAGATGCCTCTAGAATTGTGCAAAAACAGGGCAATAATTTTTGCTTTCGGAGAATATTTGATAGAAAAAACAAACCAAAAAATACAGAGATTGTCACGTTATTACGACGAGCGACCAATATACCTACAAACATCAGGTACCTATTTCTTTTTATTAATTTTGTAATACGTATTTTTAGGTAAAATATTTTTTCAAATTTTACTCAAATTATTTTATCCTGATATAATATTATATTGCATATACTTCGTAAAATGTAATTTTCAATGTTCATCATAATACAAATTAATTTCGTTCTAATCCCCAGTTTTTTTTTTTTATTATTTAATCGCATACAATTGATTTAAAAAATATATATTTAAACAACCAATAGTGTGATAACAATAACAAGTATTAATCATAATAAATATACGTTCAAATTTTTGAGTTAATTTAAAATTAAAATTCGTTTTTGTCTGTTTAAAACTGTTTCAATGCAATTGAATAAAGCCCCTTCCATCCCGATTTATATGTTTACATTTTAACACAAAACGGTCGGGTAATAATATTTTCCACGAGATCAATTATTTACAAAAACGAAACCGATAATGAATTAATAAATAAATAAACAAGTTGCTCTCATAGATTATATAATTGGTTTTTTTTTTTTTCTTTAATAAATTTCAATTTTTTTTTTTATAGGTACCTAGTATTGTATACCAGCCTAATACGACCAATAATATTGTATGGATCGGAAACCAGAGCACTAAGGAAATCAGATGAAAATAAATTCTTATTACAAGAAAAAAAAATATTACGGAAGATCTTCGGTCCAACAAAAGATGACCTCATAGTAGAGTGGAGAAGAAGCAAAAATAAGAAGCTCTACAAGAAATGTTTAATGAAAATAATATAGTACAGACGATTAAGAAAGGAAGGCTGCGATGGGCAGGACATGCAATAAGAGCTAGAACTCTCTATTAAGAATGGTATTGGAACATAATCCGGTAGGAAAAAGACCCTTGGAAAGACCGAAATTGAGATGGTAAGATATAATTAAGAGGGATGTAGAAGAATTAGGAGGCGGAGTAAATCGGAAGGATTTGCCAATGAATAGAGTCAGCTGGAAATTTGGTTATGAAACGGGATTGTTCTAGCGGCCGGATAACCTTATTTATTATAATAATAGCGGCCGGTACATTTGCGGAGATTGAGTCCTCGTGTTATATTACTCATTTTAACGGTAAGACCAATTATTATTAGGTATTAATTTAAAAGAGCTAATAATAAATCATCGAACTAAACTATAGATAAAACAAGCCTTGGATCCTCGATATTATAATTGAATTGAATTTACTTTGGTATTTTTAAAGATTAGTTAATATATATTTTTTAACCGAATGTCTACTTAAAAATAATAAAAAATATAAATGCCTTTAAATTCGTATAAATAAATAATTATACTGTAAGCACTATTAAAAATAATTCAAGTCATAAGATTAAAATTACAAATTTAGAGTTAACCAAATCTATCAGTATACTGAAAAATTATAAATTGTTTAATGACTCACACGAAAAAACAAAAGGATAGGGGTTGATGTGGTTTTACAACCTCTTTCAAAAAAAAAAAATCACGAAGTAATAGTATTTTGGTGGCCAAGGAATCCCCCTCTCCTGGTTGTAATCTTTTAGTAGGCTCAAGTACTAATAGCTTATAAATACTAACAATGTCTGTATCTACCCATTATACTCGTATGAATTTAATGTACCTACATTATTTTGTAGTAGATATTTGAGTACTTATGCGAACTATAAAACATTAAAAAAAAATAAAATAAAATAAACAACAACTTAATTATTCGAATACGATTTTAAAATATTTCAAGGTATAAATCTCATAAACTTGAACTTGATTAAAATTTTAAAAATAATGCCACACAATACCGCAATAAATTATCTGTCCGTTTTTCGGTTCATTTGCCTCTGTGTAATTAATGCCCGGAAAAATATTGCTTAATTTATGTTTTTTCTCCCTTTAAAGTAACGGCGTAATGTTGTCATTCTGCAGTAATTGGGATGTACGTAAAACTTTTGAGTACTTTTTTTAACCCCCACACCTCCTCTACAAAAAAAAATATACTATATATGTATACAAAAAATATAAACCCCATCGTTAGAATATCTGCAGAACCTAATACTTGCGAAGACAAAAACCAATTTGTTTTCTATGTAAAGTAACCTAAAAGGCACTTTGCATTTTCATTAATAATAATAATATACAGTATACAGTATAATACGTTTAATTTAAAACGAAAAAACACAAAATAAAAATAATTACAGAATTATTGTTATTATTTTTTAAGTGCATTGTAAAATTTGAAGTTCTTCTTTTTGTATCATTTAAAAAATCACTCAGATAAAAAATTATCAAAAAACTATAAATCAAAATGAAATTATATGTTTTTTAATTAATATTATTTGTAATCAAATATCGATTATTTGTACAATCACGTGACAAATAATCGAACTTAATTGTATAACCTATTAAAAATAAAATCGATTTGTTATTAAAAGTAAATTTAATAATACATTATGTTCGAAATAAAAGTGATTTTAAACTGAGTTGTGGAACTATTATAAACTTTTAACACTATTGCTCATATGTAATTTTTTTACGAAATTTTTTCTGCAGTTTTTACGAATATCTATCGAGTGGCACTGACTTTACAGTAAGTACCAACTATACACGTATACATATATACGTATAAATGTTTTGCAATTACCTACTAAGAAACTTGCAAAACTTTTCGATCGTAATATTAACCGCCTTGAAAGTATTTTTTTAAAAAACGAAAAAACAACGCATTATTGTAGAACTAATCGCATTCGTTCCACTCAGAATCTGAAAAGACAAGTACAACCCGTAGGAACCTTCGCCAGCTGTAAATGTGTTAATTGTAATATACTCTCAAAAGAATTTAATATGATAACTCACAAAAACTGTTTGGTTTTATACTAAGTTAAGTCAAAATATTCTAAACTGCAATTTATATAATTCAACAACTCATCTTAACAATTAACTAAATGAACTGGGAATCCATCCGATGGATTTCAATTTTTCGCATCACATACAGAATGACAAAAATAACTAAATGATACTCGATACCCGCAAATGGAAAGAACGCACCCCGGACGCGACTTGAATCTAAAAAAAGTTTCTTTACTATGAGACCCTACAGCTCAAAACTAACCAAAACAATAAATAATTTACATACAAAAAGAAACAATAAGTGACACTACGAGGGAAATGAAAAAAAGAGCTGTCAAATGAAAAGTAATGGAAATGGAGGAAATGGATGGCACTTGGACAGTTGTCGGACATTGCAGAACCACAGTCAACAAATGGGATATTGAGAGAAGAAGAACCAACCAATTACGAGTGAGTAAAACACCAACAATGATCTACCTAACCTAACCAAACCTAACTTCTTATAATTAAAAATAATCTACAGTTCGCAAACAACCAAGTAGCAGTGGTCGTAGTTTTTCGGACAACTAGAATCTAAACGACACAAAAATAAGAAAATAAAACAAACACAAAAGAAATAAAAATCGAGCATTTATTATGTGCTTCCATAAAATTTGATTTTTAACGTAAACAACTCACTTATAGTATTAAGTAAACCTGGTTGTTAGGAAACAGTTGCCAATAAATTTAATTATCCGAATAATTAACAATACACAAATGAAAAGGCATTGTCACCCTTAACCCCACACTATATGATTTTTTTTATTTAAAAAGAAATATATTTATTGAATAAAGATTTATACACCATCGACAAAAAGGTACATTAGCATAGGTACTTAATTTTTTTTAGATTTAGAGCGTTACAAGAGATCTATTGGTTTTACTATGATTTGTGTTTTTTTTTTGTCTGTGAATAATTTTTCTACCAGAAATTTTGCTTCGAAGTATCAAGTGTATACCTTTTATGTAAAGAAATTCCTCTAGTTAGGGATGTCTTTTTTTAAAATTTTATAAGGGATTTTCAAAATAATATGGGAAAAACCCGAAAGAAAATTAAAGTTAAAACGGTAAATATTTAAACCACGGCGATACCGATTACATTAGGTATTTCAAATAATTTGTTTAAAAAATATTTCTGGTAGAAATACTGTATAAACAAATCCAATCGAAACATGACTATAGATCGATTTGGTTTCCTATTAATATAAATTCACTGACAGAGAAAGTCGTTTTTTGATATCCAAAGAAATTTTCATAGGAAAAAACCAAAATATATTTTAAACATTTGTATGCAGAAATTCATTTTCTTCATTCGGGATATTGAAAACGTGCTCAAACTAATAATGATTATAAAATAATCCTCAAAATATATGTATGTACACATTTGTGTATTGTACATGGAAATATTATTTAATTAAATATTATTTGTTTTCCGTTTAAACAAATAAGTTACATTACAATCTATAAAATGAGAACATTTTTTTTTTCATGATAAATTTCTATAGGTACATTATCGCTATTTTTAATCGAATACGACGAGGAGTTCATTTTTTTTGATACACGATGATTTTGTTCACATAACTAAAGTTACATAATGTGGAATTTTACGAATGATACATTTTTTTGTGTATACACTCACATAATCTCAACACGAAATTTTAGTTTTTTTTTCATCGTATTGTAGCGACAAATATAATACTGTGTATTTGATCCATAAACATTTGTAACTCGTCAATGATGTATTGTAATCAAATCATATTTTGAATAGGTATCTAATCCGTGTAGTAATTTCATTATACCGCAAATTGTTTCTAATCCTAATATTATACAATTATACCGTTTTAAAATCTAACCATGTGAAACGTATCGTCGTAAAAATAAATCGAGCTACTGCAAATGCGCGAAAATACGACTTGATCTAAAAAAAAAACATAACAAATATAAACACTGTACGGTTCTTATACATCGAAAGGTCTGATTTCGCAATATCAGTATAGACGTCCGTCGTTATTTTTAATAAAATACATACTCGTAACTCAAACGCCCAATAATATGTTACGACATGATACCAAAATAACGACAGTTGACATACACGCACCTATAGTAATAATTATAATAATATTATAGCTATAGCAGGTACCACAAAGTTGGCGTAACGAGATCCTCGAGTATGCAAATGCATTGGGTATAATAAAACTAAATAATATATAATATAAAATTATTGTAGTAAAGCGTTGGCGACGTTGTACTCGTAGAGAAAAAAAACTATGACGAGTCTACAAAAAAAACTACAAAGCTCGGAACAATAATAGACACGAAAAATTCTAACTGAAATGTTTACGTCGAAATACAGACACGAACGACGGGTCTTCCGTAAAAAATCGTAGCTAGATTTTCAAATGTCTATATCTATACCTGCATGTGTTCGTACTCGTAGGCTTTAAATTGTTACATGATTCTTTGTCGCCGAATTCCGATCTCAGTCATACGCGAAAAAATCCCGCTGTTACAGTGAGTTCACCGGTTAGGTTTTACATGGTCGTCGAAACAGAGAAGCTTTTTCAAATTTCTCCCTTTTTTTCCAGATAAGTTAACATAGACTGTATAAGTAACTACTCAGCTAGTATGACTACTCAACTAGTAAATGGCCATTTAATAAACGTTAACCCATATAGTATCTAAATATAGTACCTAAAATTTAAAATAAAATTAACGAACGTATTAAATAATCGTATCCGTTTCACGTAATGGATAAAATATGTGTCCGTGTTCATTACAATATATGAACGGAATAACAGCTTACACGCTCCTAACTAAATTCGTGAAATGTATATCCGTTCCGTGGAAGAATCAATTATAATCGTAATTATACAGTTTCGATAGAATACGACACACTCGGTTCAAGAATACTTTTTACAACAAAAATAAATTTAAAACTAGACGAGCACCGCCGAGAAACTGCACGTGAAAACGGGTCGTATTTTATATGTCTCGCACGGATATAATGTTAGAGTGCAGGCTGCAAAGGACTTCGGACGATAGAAAATTTACATATTATAATAAAACTGATTTATGGCGGTTGGCCAATGTTCGTTCGAACATAATAATTGACGAAGGATAAAGGTCGGCGCCATCCAATGCCGATAGACTATAGAGGTGGAAGAACTTCAAAGTTTAGAAAACGCCGAGCACTGTGCGTGGAGAAGGACCCGCAGATATCGTCTAAAATATACTGGTATATAAAAAAACACCCGTTAAAACGTGTCACGTATAAAAAAAAGTATATATAAGTCATGTTTTAAGTTGGCAAAAAGTCCGCACGTATATATACACAAATTTGTTCTACGGTAGGCGGGTGGTAAAACACGATTCAAGATAAAAAATAAATTTCGAGCCGTCATTGCTTTTTAGTGCAATAAAAATAAAGTGTTCCAATGAGGAAAAGTGTTTGCGTGTGTACGATATATCTATGGTACGCGGATATCGGCAATTTTGAATATATAGATATAAAACGCCTGATAACATCTAGATTTTTCATTTTCAATTCCTGAGCTAGGTACCGGAAAAAAAACGAATTTAATTACAGAGAGAAAAACTAAATTTCAACCGAACTTGGTACTGAAACGATTATGAATAAATTAAGATGCGAAAAAATCCGTTGGGATCGTAGGCATTTCAAGAATCCTACGGAGTTTAGTGGGAACGATGAGTAAACGGGGAAATGTACAGTCAAATTAAATTTTCTTTGACTACCTGACCTATATAATTTGGATAACGTTAAATAAGTTTATATGTGGGCCAAAAGAACCGGGTTATCAGGTTTGTCGGTGATCGAGAAATCGCACCGAGTTCCTGATCCCGATAACAACAGTGTAATTCGATAGACATGTTTACACTGTAAATATCGATTGTCCCATTAAACCCGGCAGTTGATTGGTGGCCGTACACAAAACAATTAAGATTAATTGGACCGCACGATGAGTTCGTTAACTAGTGTATTGTCGGGTAATACGTGTATATAATAGCTAGGGACCCCGGTGCGGACCACCTCGTGGTTATTTTATATATGGAATATCGTTCAAATTATTATGTTCGAGTACGTATATATATTTATGGAACGAAATATAAAGGACAAAAACTGACCTATTATCCGGACCGCAAATTCCCCAAGTATCAAATCAAATAAATATAAAAAATAAAAATATTAGCTCCAAGGACGTTTATGACGAATGTACTAAAGAGAAAATCAAAAATATACAAACGAAGTACCTGCAGTTATTTTTAAACGAAACCCCGGGCATTCAAAAAGAACGAGGAAATAAAATTATGTAAACAGGGACAATATATTTTAAAAAAAAACCTCCAGCCAACAGCTATAGGGCAAATAAAGTAGTATTCGAAAATATTATCGAATTTACTAATGAAAAATCACGCATAAAGAATTTAAAATTCTTTTTTAATAGGGTGGGGAGGGGCAGAGGAGTTTTCGATTTCTAAAGATGTGTCTCGTGCGATTTTTGGTCTCACTTTCACGAAATCGTTATTTTTTGCTATTTTTTTTTTTTTTTTTAATTAAAATTACAGTTATTTCAACTATTTAAATAGTCAATAATTAATATTAAACAATGAAAATAAAGCGATAGTCTTTAAAATTTTAGATCGTATTCCTTCTTTGAACTGGAAAATAATAGTTATTATGATCACGTTAACCTATAAAACGAAAAACCAAAGACATCACTCGAAAAAAGGTCGCGAACGAAACTCGTGGTTTACAATAGCCAGTTTTTTTTCGTACCTACATCAATTTGTTTTTGTTTTTTTTTAATTTTAAGGGGGCATTCCATTCATATTCTTTGTATTAAATATAATTTATATTATCGTTAAAAAGCAATACCTTTTCTATATAAAAAAAAAAAAATAAAAGAAATCACACGTTCAAGGCTATTCAGTTGGCACAAATTTATTATGTACATAAAATAAAAATGTTAAAATGAACGTCTTCAATATCGTTATTGTTGTATTCAAACTTAGTTGAACTTGTGTGTGTTTATATTTTGCTATACGAAATTAAATTGCTCAAGATTATTATAATATTAAAAGGCAGGGCGTTAACGAGCTAAAAAGTTAAATTAATTATAACTTTTTAATTTGTATTAATTCGACTTATTTTTTTTACTCTACTCGATTAAAATAAATTGTCAATTTGAAATATACCACGTCGAGTCAATTTCGATTTATTTTAATAAGTATCGCTACATTAAATTTACAATCTATATGCGCAATGATTTGAATAAATTATTAAAGTTGTGTGGAGTGAGTTCTGCATTTAAAACAAGTATTCCTAATTTTATGATACATGAAATAAGTTTTCCAGTGTTTTCATTTTCAAAAAATCACAAACTATACTATGTTTAATTAACACTTTCAATATACCAATAAATTAATACAAATTTTCAAATTGACTTTTAACTTAACATGCAGCTAATTAACACGTTAACTCATTAAGTTTACTTCATTTAACTTAAATGAACTTTTAATTATCTAATTCAATTAATTAACTTTCTATTTATTTTTGTTCAAGTATACAATGTTTTTTAAAATGTACTTATCGTTTTAATTTGTTTTATTTTAGCGTTATCAATATAATTTACGAGGAAATTTTTGTTTTTTTAATCGTCATACTACAATATTTGACATAAATATAATTTAGTTTTTATGTCTTTTATCACTTTATATTTAGATGCCATAAAAAATATGTATATAAATTACAAACGATTATACCGAATAAAGAGTTAAATTGTATTCAAAACGATATAATACATCATATTCCATAGTAAATAAACAATAATTCTTTGTAAAAACCTACCATTTAATTGTACGTCCGTTATGGAAAATCAAAATTTAGTATGTATTTAGTAATTTAATAAATTTAGTAATTCATCTGGTATCCTAAGTCAGTCCAATAATCGTGTAATAAAACTACTAAACTTTTCTGCCAAAGAATTACATAAGCAATACCTAAACGGCATATTTTTTATATTGTAAATGATTGCAATAACAAAAATAAAATTAGTAAGTAGTATTATGATAAAACGATATTTATATTGAAACTCACGCACATGTGCACAAACCCAATGTAACAACTGAATTGTAAACGAATAAAGCGAAAAAGAATATCGATGGTTTTTACAATATTGAATCATACATTGGCATATTTTATCAAGTGAAAGTAACTTTTTATATGCTACAGTTTCAATCTGATGCAAATTTTAAACAAAAATATAATTAATATAAAATGTCGGTAGGTAGGTGTTATTCGAATAGCTATAGCCTATGCGAAAACCAACTTATTACCTTGAAATTGTAAATTTGGCATTACATATCAATAAATATTCAATATTGATGATTTGTAATTAAACTCTTTTTTCAAGTAGATTTATTATTTCACAACCTCTAAGTTTGTTATTTTTCTAGTGGCCCTCCGCTAATTGTTTCTATCGAGACCTCCCATACGTATCTTTAACAAACAATGATATTTTTAATAATAAAAAAAAAAAATCATGTATTATCAACTACGATAAATTGTAATTTGTTTTTAAATTTATCATTTAATAGTGAATTATTATAACTATTATTTTTGTACATTTTACTTTTGCCTTACTTCCCTATGCGTTAATGAATAATTAATTTAATCAAAATCTAAACACTAACATCAGATATTTTACGAAGATTATATGAAGTAATTTTGTAAAGAAAAATATAAATAATACATAGTCAGTAACAGATATTATTAGTTGGATTTTTTTTTTTTTTTGGAAATTATTAATATAAGTGAATAATGTTTGAAAATTGGTGTAATAGGGTTGTGGAGGACGAAGCCTTTCAAGGGTTAGAGTTAATCCACGGTTTAACAAATTGAATAAGCTTTTTAAAACATTCGGGTGTTACGTATTAAAGTTCGTTTATATACAAATTAAACTAAATACATAAAGTAATAGTAAAAGTCCCTCTTCTATTTTTCCAATTCGAACAAGCTATACAGACGAACATATAATATATTTTTAAATTAAAAAAAACACATACGTACTTGTGATATTAATCAGTGGTTAGAAGTAGCGTGCTACATTTTGTAGTAATATTGATAGTGTACGGTTTTATTTTGGTAAGTAATGTTTACCATGATAACACTACATTTTTCAAAGGGAAATCGCACAAAATTAGATATTTTAAACGCTACTTTTTACCAAAATAAAATTGTGAATTTAATGAAATATTATATAATTTGTAGTTACATTATTTTTGTTTTAGTCCATAGTAAAATAAAATATGTGACTACTATGTTACAAATTATGTTACTGATTTTTTTCGTTTCGGAAATGACAAATGTAGTTAAATAAATTGTTGTTAAATTATATTGTAAGAATTAATACTTAGGGTACCTATTACATTTTATAATATCGACAATGATAGAAAAGTTTTCTGTTATAAATATAAAAATGTAATGCGCCACTTTAAAAAAAAGCGAATTTTGTAGCGCCCCTCACTTATAAAAATAATATAGCGATGATTGTAAGGATTCCTTTTTTTTTTTAGAAATGTAGCTATAGTAGTAGCACACTACATTAAAGGTAGTAATTTCCAACCACTGATATTAATAATATAATGTTATACGTATTATTTTCACATTTTTTTTATTATACATTATAATGACACGAATTTAATATAACAGGTAAAGAAATCTGAGATTTTATAAAAAAAAAAAAAATGAAAAAGATAATAATAACGATGATGAATTTATTTAACTACATATTACGCACATTGGGTAAATAAATAATATACCCGTTAGGCTCGGTTTGAGAGTTCACCGTTAATTTAAATTATGCATATGAGTGTAGTTATATTATTATCTTTGATCGATATGTCAAGCGAATAATGTTTTAGTAGTTTAATTATTCACAAACGTTTGGAGAACAAATTAGCGCAATACATTATACACTATACATAATAATACAGTTATCTATTTTAGTAATCTTATGCTATACATTTTAAGCAGCGTTGACCTGGTAAACTATGATCAACTCCGAGATCCCAAACAATCATTTTTTTTTTTTTTTTTTTTAGTCGTTTTTTTCATGTACTATAACCGAGAAATTAACTGAACAAATAGAAATCAAAATTTAAAATCCTATTTCGATTTTTTCTCCAGAAACCCACATTATAATTTCAGATCTCAACTGCGTACCGTAGATCTTGTACGAAAAACGTCATCTCTGTTGTTCTTTTTTTTTTTTTTTAATTATTCGAAATTAAAATTTAATTTCGTGTCAACGGTTTACTATGCAGACGAACGCATAAACTAATTTATCCGATGATGCTGTAAAATGTTTGGCAAAAAATGGGTTATGGAAAAGCATTGATTGGTAACACGATTGTTTTCAACAAAATAAAAACCGCAATGTTTAATAGTAAAATCAGTATTACTGTTGAAGGATTATTATTGAAGACGAGCTTTTTTCCTAATCAGGTGCCTGTTATTCAATGATTCGCCTAAAGTGTCCATTATTCAGATGACTACCGACTGTTAAACTTTGCTGGTCAATCACGATATTTTAATACACTCGAAATCTAAGAGATTCATATTTTACTGAATTCGCTTCGAGACCGCCCTACGCCATTCGAACTAGCAACTTTACGGTATTATTATTGCGATTCCGAAATCCCACAGCCGTCCGGGCATTCCGCCATTAGGTGTGTAACCGATAAATACAAACATTAAACATTTATTCGACTTAAAAACCAAACGGTAAACAAATACTTAAAAAACTTAAAAAATACTTAAAAATTAACCTGATATTTAAAAAAAAAATAATAATACCCTAAATTATTTGCGCAAATTTGGGGGGGTCTAGAAGGATTCAGTAGCCCCAAAGTTCGGCCAAGCACTCCAAATTAAGTGCTCGTCAAATAGGAGTAAGTAAAAATTAATTACCTATATCAAAGTTATCTATTCAATCGATATTATGAAGAAAAGAGGCTTAAGTCTCCATCCGAAAAAAAAATAGTATTTATTTTGCTTTATTCGTCTATACCCTAAACTCAAAATTTTTAAATATACAACAGATTTCTTTTTCTTTTTAACTTTTCAGCTAATTTGAGCTGTAAAATCAGAAATTGTTTAATATTCATTAATCAAACATTCAATACATTCGATATACATATTTTCGATTAAAAATAATAAGTGGAATAGTTATTACTATGCGTTAACGTTGTGTTATGTTTTTTTTCACCACTCAATACGTACAACAGACTTCGCTATATGGACCACTCATTAAAAATTTAGTACATGCACTTAACGGATGTATATAGAAACCGAGTAGGGAGACGCCAGCTTCACGAACTTATGACGATACTTCAATAAAAAAATAAAAAATATAACAACAATAAAATAACCCTTGATTTGCTGTGCAAAACATATCACTACATCGTCATCAGTAGAAAAACCAAAAAGCATAAAACGCGTCCTTAGCTTTTGTGTGTCGCATAGTAACTAGAACACAATAAACTTTGATGTAGTTGGCTTATTAAGTTTGAAACGAATCAAAAAGTCTACCTGTATATTATGACTTATGAGATATATAAATATAGGTATTTATGTAAGTATAGCAATAACATCAGCTGCGATTATATAAAACTGCAAAAAAAAAAATAATCGAATTTTACTGTTTCACCCAACGTGTTGAACACGTCATTAAAAATATGTATTTGTCGTTTATCTATTCGTCTGTCCACCATACAAATCTATACAGTTTTATTCCGATGTCTATAAAACTCACAAAAAATGAGGAAAGCCGCTGTATTTTTTCCATCCCGGAATTTAACCACCAAGTTATGGCCGAGTGCATTGGATTTTCAGTATTTTTGTAACAAAAGTTGAATTTCTTTTGATTTATTAATTTATGAGTTACCTTAGCGACACAGATGAAAAAAAACAGTTATTATTATTTGTTTTGATGTCACTGATAAAGAATTACCTTTTTGAACAAAAAATTAATAGGCAACAACGATTAACTGTGATAACTGATGAGATTAAGGGCGGAAATAAGAGAGACACGTTAAATTTCATTTATTTTATTGATTTCTGTTTTTAAAAAGAATTAGCCAGGGAAATACTGCAGAGTAATTCAGCTAGTATTGGGTATGATAAATAATAATGCAGGTGTATAGTCGGACGAAAAATATAATACCTATTACGGTCCGTTGATCTCAAAACAAAAGAGAAGAGAATACATATTATGAACGAAAGACAAATGTAGAACTGAGGACAATGTCTTTATATGAGCCAGACATATTTGTAGTTGTCAGAAGCCGAGGGATAAAAGCTAGACAGGGCACGATGTTGCGGCCAGATGGTCAACTAAAATATTGCGTGGGATCATAATATATAGAAACCAGACAAGAAAATACCGCGAAGACACGACCAAGGAATAATAATAAACTAATACTAATAATAGTATGCATCAAGTTGTGCATGGAGAAGACGAGGAGTATAGTGGAAAATGTGAAAGCCCAAATTAGCAAAAAAAAAAAAAAATAATAATAATGATAAACCACTTTTTAAAAAATAACTCAAACATTTTCACATAAATGAATCACGATTAACGAGCCCATACATTTTCAAATTTAAACTTTAGAATAAAATTGATAAATAATTTAACAATAGTACTAGTATTTAGACAATATACTCGTATTATGTGGGAAAATGTTTTTAAAAAAAAATCCCACTCTATAAACGCAATAACATAATCACACTATATATATTAATATACAGGGTATATCTGTAAATTTTGACATAGGAAATCGCAACATTTTACAAATAAATACACTCTATATACCACGCCAAATAATTATAGGGAGAAATTTAATCTCATCCATATAATTTTCTCAAAATTATCAGTGTTATTGTACTGATTTTACTGTACGCTGTACGTTATTTTTTGTTCTATGTATTTTTCCTCTTCGTTTTCGGATCGATTTTATAAAATTATATAAAAACTGTCCTTACTGTATTTATACGGAAGAGTTCGTTTAGTCGTTCGCGTGACGCATTTATCGCATTACATTGTAATAATATTCCATCGGCATTAATATTACATTTTGAAGTATTTATTAACAGTAATTAAATTTTGTACCTACCATATCGACTTACAAATGAAATTCGTAAAACATGGAATTTGATTAAATTTATTATTATTTTTTTACTAAACGAGTAATAAAATAGCATAGTATACCCACATAAAAATATTAAATACCCTTATATTTGTTCAAAAAAACAGTCACCGCATTTAATCGCGTGAGATATACACAAACTTTTTAGATTCTAAATATAACGAAAAAATAACTACCAATTAGTTTTTCTATAATATGAGGTTTTTCTATCAAGAAAACACTTTATTTGGTGAAAATGATTAGATTTTTCAAACCATATTAATTAAAAGATTCCAATTATTTGACCGGTGGAACTTTATTTGAAAAGAACTGATATATTTTTTTTAGGTGAAAAGTTGGGAAGGTATATAGAGGGACATTTTATGTATATCTGTACAAAAAGATTAATTTTGACGAAAAATGCCTGAAGAAATCAAAAAGTGACCTTCTTAAAGTACCACTGCAGTCAGCTTTTCTTTTAGAAAAAGTGCTACACTTAAAAATCGGAGCAAAACTGCTGGTAGAAAAGTTGTCTATAAGAAAAAAAATATGCATCATTGTAAAACCAATACATTCCTCGTTCAGCTCAGAATTTGAAACACTGATAACAAATATCGATGTATATCGACTTTATTCTTGTTAATTTCTACATTACCAACTATTGGCTACAAAAGGAGAAAACAAGACGAATGCCAGTTTACCGAGCTTCTTCATTCAGGTTCGATTTTTGAATAAAATGATTATGTCGTTGCGTGAACTGAATGGTTCTTTATATTTTACATTCTCGACTACTCAGTGGGGACCTGTCGGCGAACAAATAAAACATAATTATCAGCGAAAATTATCGTGTTTTAAATCATAAATACAATAAGCCTATGAATACTATATGTAATGAATAGTGCAATTAATTTACTTTGAAAAATCAATAAAAAATGGCACGACTTTCTTATCAAAAAAATTAATTAATAAAATAAAGATCAGGCGATACTGTATAAAACTGTATACAAGTACTAGTGTTATAGCCCTCCCGAAAGCAGAAATTATATAAGTTTAACGATTCCGGACACGTGTGCATCATTTTTTTTCTTTATCTTATCGTTTTTTTTATATATATAAACATATACCAAAATAACTGGTTTTTTCGGAATATTTTAAATTTAAATAAAAAAAAAAACTTTTTAGTTTTTAGGTACCTACACTAAATAATAATATTTTTAATTAATTTTATTCCTTCAGTGTATTTTAACGGGGCCGGTGCAATTTTTAATTTTATACGCACGTGTAACTAATAATTACAATATTACACTTACAAATTACAAATAACTCGCAAAAAAAAAAATCCTTTTTTTTTAATATTGATCTATATACCATAATTATTAAAATGTATTTATACTGCTGGGTGTATTTTATATTTGTGTACGTTTAAATATTTTAATAAAATTTCATTACAATCAAATAAGTCCAAAATTTAAATATCGTCGCTCAAACCACAGTTATCTCAGTTTTTGTAATTGTATAATGTACAGAATGATCAAAAACATTTCAGAAAACAATAGGTTTTGATACAGTGTTCCTGTAATTTTTCATGGTTATAGTAACCACGAGTTTAAAAACATTAAATTCCGGAAACCCTTATTTTATCGAAAGCAATCTCATGTTGCAGTTCATATAATAATATATATATATATATATATTGATTCACGTGATTTCATTCTTTCCCGCCTGCCTGTCTATATTATATATAGTGAAACCTTTAATTTTATAATTTGAATATAGTAAATAAAGACACGCGATATATATGTTGTCTATTAAAATTGACGAAGACTTTATTAGGGTTCTATAATATCTATAATATAAAACCGTGTCGAGTGCACAAATTATATTATTTTGTGCTCCGCAGACCGCTGCAGCCGCACGTGACCTACGGGCTTTGGTTCGTCCGTCCGGCCTTTGATTTAAAGTTTAGAAGACCGGAAAGGTTTTGGAGGGGTAAATCCATTCCCACGACTACACACTCTACACTTCATCAGTTTCAGTAATTATCTTTCGGGCTAATAAACCACTAAATTGTTCAACATTGAATATTAATACGTCAACGTTTCCACTAAACGATCAAAATTAACCCAATCGATTTGAATAATACACGATTATAATTATTTTGAAGACGTTAGTAGAATTTTTTTTAAAAACCATTAAACGTAAGCAACTGCCGCTGGGTCTTAATAATTGTTAAATCAAATGTTCAACACAACAAACAATTAAAAAGGAAGCAATTTTTAGAATTACCAAAAATAACTAATTTTGTGAAGGCACAAATTAGAATTCAAAGGTTTAGATGTGCGATGAGGAGGCCGGATTCAGTCAACCTAAATACAGCATTTGTGAGTATAAACCGACTTACTGGAAAATAGATTTATAGAAAACGTGAAATAAAGCATTGGACGGATGGGATGAAATGAAACGTGGATAAATTAGATTATTAAATGTAGTGAATTATGGCCAAAGAGAATACACGTGAAGAGAGAAAAGGATCATTTTATGTTTTTCAAATTCGAATTACATAATAGCTTTTTCTTATTAACAATATGTGTACACTTTTTTAATTATGGAAATTGTACCTATATCATAGTACACAATGGATATGACGTGTTTACCAGTTACGCAACAATAACAGTCAATGGTAGCGGTCAGCGTTCCAGAATAAAGAAAGGAGATGACAATACTAACAATATAAAAATCGTGACGTATTCTATCCTACAAACTAACAATATAGAAGCAACATTCGATCAGCTAACCGATTTGTGTTTATTTGTGATCTGAAGTATGATCCTGAGGAAACATTTCCGTTAACCAACTTGATACAAAAAAATATTTCTGGTACGTTGGTACATCTATTCTTTTGAATTTCTATTGTTCGTTTATAGGGTTTAAATGGTTTTAGTGGTTTCAGTGAATCCATATCATCATAACATTTAACACTGAACATACGGAATGTCTGAATTTCCTCAGCAATAAATTTAATTTTCTTTCATGAAATATTTCCTTGTTTTCGTGAGTATTAGTGAGAACTGATGGTACACTTTACTAGTGAGTGAGATAGAAGATTCAAGAACGTCTTATAACAAAGCCTATCCGTGTGTTATATCCGTTGTTTCTTTCGTTTCTAAAATATATTTTATCTTATTATCAATACCATATATTATATATTGCGTACATGACAAACAATAAACAGATAAACTTATTTGAAACTCGCAGGAACTATTATGTTACCCAAATTCATTAGAACCCAAGTAGTGTAGATCTGTCAAAAGCACTAAGGTCTAGAACCCAATTGGGATGCAGCCCTACATCGACGACTGAAAAGATCGCTTATGGTATAAAGGTAACCTACATCCAAATGTCATTGTGACAACCGTCACTGTCTACTGCAGTTATTGCACTATTAGTGTTCACCTATCTATATAATATGTATATACATATACATATATATATATATACACAAATATTTCACTATATTTTACAGAACGTAATATTTTGTCGTCTTAGGTAATTGATAAATATTATCCTGGGTACTTACGCACAATGGCGTAATTGAGGAAATTCTTTTAGAGAGGGTTTCAAAATAAATCTTCATGGGAGGTTAGCCCCACAGAACCCCCCCCCCTCCTTACCAACATTTAATAACCCATCAACGGGGCTAGGAATTTTTCTATTAAATGGCACGTCTGCGTTTATAAAATCACACCGTCCTAGTCACGTTCGAACGTGTAGTACGAAAAACCTAAAGTGAAATTTACCATTTGTTTTGACATAAGCAATTAAGAAAATTGCTCATCTATATATGTATACAAAATAACATGTCCTGACTGACTGATTGATTCATCATCGCCTAGCCAAAACCACTGGACGGATCGGACTGAAATTTGGCATACAAATAACTATTATGATGCAGGCAACCACTAAGAATTTTTGAAAATTCAACCCCTAAGGGGGTAAAATAGGGATATTTTAGTTTTTAGGTAGATTTGATACGAATATCTAATTTCTTATTTAGTTATTTTTGTTTATTCAAGGGTTACCTTGATGTTACGGAAAAGAAAACTATTATAATTATTATTATTACCGTTATTTAAACTATTCAAATTTCAAAACAGAACACATTTAGTCCGCCGAAGGTGAACTAAATACCCACTTACTACCTATTTGTTTTCATTCAATTCTGACACGGCCAAAACCAAAAATAAATATGGGTTAAATAATAATAATAAAAATTGGCGCGGGCAACGCCGGGCGTGAGACAGCTAGTCTAGTATAATAATAAACTATGCATATTTTTGTACCTGCCAATACAATTAAACATTTATAATTTTTTTAATTTCATAATAGTTCTAAAAATTTACATTTGAACTTTAAATTTGTATAAGATAACAATATACTATATAAATACGGCTCATGGGGGAATCTGTCCCTCGCGTCCCCCCCTCATAATTACGCCCCTGATTACGCGGTGTTTTCCCGTGCGGTATAGACGCGCGTGACAGGACCGGAACAATATTCGTTCTCGCCAAGGCCACCATCACAGCATATATGTTGATAATGCCGTCGGCGGAAACATGGTAGAACATTGCCACCGGAGTATAAACATCGGCTAATACATCCGAAGTAAAACATCCGCCGCCGGAGTAAATATATACACTCGTTGCATTATGTACGGCTATATAGTTACGTCGTTAATGTTTTTAAGGTTGACAAACGAAATATTATTGTGTTATACAACAGTAGGTTACGGCGCAGTATTAAATAGTACGAACTGGAAATTATGTAGTTTATTTAAGTACATTGTTTTTGCGCAGTAAGAAAATCGGTAGAGAGGTAAAATATTTGAAAACGCAACATGTAATAATATATGTATGTTGTTCCTATTAGGTATACCTGGAAAAGGTACGATGCGAAAAACTATGTTTTCTCCGTGTTTATAAATCATAATATATAGGTAGGTACAGAAGATGATTAATTTATCGTACAACACTCATTGTTTAAAAAAAGTAAAATGATTTTTGTTTGGAATTTGTTTTTAAGAAATATGCCGCCGAAAAATGTTACAATACGGATAATTTTTCGTCATTGTTATATTTTAGGAAGAAACGACTACCTGCTTTTGATTTTCAAATGGTGTTATACATTACAAATTTCATAAATAGATGAATTATTAGTTTAAATCAATTTCGGCGTTGAAATTTTTAATTCCTGTCAACGAGATATTCCACTTTTGTATTTCGACGGGAAGAGTGGTATTGGTGCATCATTTGTGTGGCGACATGGCAAGCGACGTTTTAATAGTGTTCCATCACTCACCTCCCACCGAACCTTAAAAGTGGAATATCACGTCAATGGATTGACAGAAATCAAAAAATTGACAAAAATAAGAGTAGGTAATGTAATATTTTAGAGCTATTATATCCTTAAATTTTTTTAAAAAAAAATGTACGCATAAAATTCCGAAATAATGAGTGTTTTACGTTATGTTAACCATCATGTATTTGAAAAGTATACATTTTTAAAATCAAACAAAATGCCATAAAATCTATAATCATAATATAATAGAATCAAACTAAATACGTGCAAGAAAAGCAAATGGTTTTGTATTACGAAAATTTATTATAGCACTTTGGTAAAGATATATTTTGAATTGTATATATTGATAAAAAATAAATTTAAAAACAGCGGTCACATAATACTTTTTCTTTTTACGAGCAACGGCTAGTTGTAGCTGTAATTAGAACAGATTGTTGCAGGGGCAGTCAAACGGAGAGAGCGGAATTAGGGATATATAGTCTCCGTGACTTCTTGGTATTTAATATTTAAATTAATATAAATTAAACTATATATTTATAATTTAGAATATTAACTGTTAAAAAATAACCAACCTCATCCCCATCTAATGATAAAATTATTTAACCACCATCTGCTATAGTTACCGAGTTGTATATACGATTTAAATCCGAGCGTCAATAAAACAGCCAACTAGTCGTTCAAGATTTTAAAAAATTTTAACTTCAAAATCTCACTGTCTCGCCAGCAAAACAACTCTAAATCACCGAAAATTCGCTCGAGAAATAATTAATATTAGAACACATTAAATATACTTTATAAAGAATAATACGATCGAATTTCCCTCTAAATTCAAAAATGGTATCCAATTTTACATATTTTTATGAAAATTAAACAGAAACTGTAACAATACTATTAGACGTTTATTATGTACTGTAACGTTATCATAAATTTAGTAAAACTGTTTTTATTTGTTGACTGCTCTCTTTGTATCAAATTCGTCATAGATTCGTATGCGTATTAATTTCAATGGTTAAAGAGCGAGGACGGCAAAGGACGTAGTCCGCCTTTTTCTTTAATATAAAATGATCAGTCCACTTTAGTTCAAAGCTTCGAAATCCGGGAAAAGGACACTTTAGTTATTGTCACAAAGATTGTTTTAATGGCATTTTAAAAACTTGAATTATTTGTATTAAAATGAATTCTATTTATACCTACCTATTCGATTATACGTAATGAGAGATTGTTTTTAATTTATTTTTACTGAGAAGGCATAAGCGCAGGAAAATATTTGAGGGACGTGATGCAGTTTATTTTTAAACCCTATTAGTATAACATTCTTATGAAAAAATGTTGATGAAACAAAAATATTTTAGGAAAGTTTTCTCCGTGGTGAATTTCCAGAAAGTTTAATTTCGACTTAGTTCTCGGGACCACGCCTCAATATTCGGTAAATATAGTCTTCTTTCGATATTGTTCCCGTTTTAACCACTGAATTTACTTTAGATATTCGCACTACGTAGTACCTTAATCATTTTGATTCACTTTGATCGAGTTTATATTTTATAAAACCCTACATCTACATTGTATCTATTTATATAATAATAATAATAGTTATAATTAACATATTTATTAGCTCAAGATTGTTAACGCGGAGTAAATATCAATCATAATTAAAACTTCCAAGGCTCCAAAAACAAAATTTGAATATTACATAAATATTGTTATATAAGTATAGTAATAATACATCGGGTTGATAGGTACTGTGTGATAGGTTCGGATAGATAATATAATACAGTGATAATGATTATTTATTTCTATTCAGCGGGGCGTTAGTTATTTTTAAAATTTAAAATTCAGAATATATAATATACAATACATTTTAAACATTGAAACACTGAAAGACATCAGAAAAGCTTTAAAACTGTAAAAATATATATTATTATATATGTATACTATATAAAAAGATTAATGACGGTAATTGGAAATTATTGTCAGAAATGATTGCGATCATACTCTTATTTTTCAGTTGACATTTTAATTTCGTGAAACGTATCGAGTTGAACTCGGCAATGTCGTTTCAAGAGTCGAGATTAAAAAGTTTAAGGATACTCCCTGATAGCAGAAAATTAAAATAATTTCCCATATTAAGAATATTTTTTTCTGTCCCTATAAGATAAAACGTCACTCGTTTGCACTGATATATATTTTTATTTTTATTTTTTTTTTTTTTGAAAAATTATCATTCACACCTTTGGAATTATCAGTAATATGAATACACGCGTATGTAAATGTTCGAGGTTTTATTTTTACCATAAAGAATGCTAAAAATGCACGTTAATGCGCAATAATTTATATCTGTTATTATTTTATTTTTTGTTCAGTCAATACCTAGTCGGGAAGAACAGTTGCACACAGTTGCACATTTTACTTCCTGTTTATATTGCGAAAAATCAAAGAGAAAAACCCGTAAGCGTAAACAATATTGTTATATATAGGTTAAATCAATTAATTTGTTTAGTTTTTATTTTACTTTTATTGTTATTGTTATTTAATAATACTGCAGTTAACAAACAATTATATTTTACAACATAACATATTTCCCTCTGTATCGCCCACATAGAATTCAGACAAGTCTACAATATTGTAATCGTGTTTAAATAATTATTTTTATTTTTATTAATTACAATAAAACCATGATTTTGTACTAATTATTTTGAAATTTGTACCAGGGTATATACAGGGTGTCTCACAGAGATCTGATAAGTGTAACAACTTTTGTTCTGGTCAATATGTTCAAGTTTTGTATAATAAACCGATAATTAGACCATGATTTTAACCATTTCAAGACGTAGGACCGCGCGTGATATTGGAAGCGTCCTTTTAAAGTTTATTATTATACGAATTATGACTGTATTTTAAACAGGAAGCAGTTAATTTACAAAAAGAAAACATCGTTACATATATGCAAACAAAATAAAATAGTAAATAATATTTTAAAAAAAGACGGGCATTCATACTTCGCATGATGGGTAGGTTACTGTTGTAGATGAAAAGTTGAGAAGGTATAATACAGAGGGGAATTTAATTTATATCTGTACGCAATGGTAAACTATTACTAACGAAAAACGATTCGGATCAAATTTTCTTTTATACATGTATGTAAATTTTCCAGTTATTTCTACGCTTTTCCCAAGTTGTCATTTTTTTTTTTTTTTTTTTTAGAAGCATTTTGAAATCAAATTTAAACAAATATCTCCCAAAAAAATAACGGCACTTCAAATTATGTATTACCGAACTGCTCTTGGAATCGTCGTTTGTCAAGCAATGGTTTATCGTTACCTTCCCAACTTCTCACATTCAACAGTGGCTGCTCCCACCCCAGTATTAGTTCTTTTTTTATATTTGATTATATATTTTAAAAAAAATCCGAATTCCACAACAATAAAAAATACTACACACACCTTTGTTGGTATAACGTATAAAACTAAATCTACCTCACACCCATAAAAAATAAGAATAGACTTCTATAAATAAATCCTAACCAATAAAAAATATTGTTAAACATAATAACATAATAATCTACACGATACACTTTTTTAATAATTCCAAGTCCCTCGAATTTTTCATTTTAATATTTGTCAAAGTTATAAACCTTGATAGTTTCCCGGTAAAAGTACAATAATAACTGTGTATGAATTTTAAACCTTAATCAATAAAACCTCGATGTTAATTGTTTTTCATTGTAATTTTCGATATAGTTTGTTTCACTATTGCAGTATATAAGTATTAATGAAATATTTTATAATAAGACCTATACTGCAGTATATTTTATAGATCATATCTATTGTATTATACAGATATCTGTACTAGTCGTGCTATATAATAATATTTCTTTAGAACTGCGTCAAAGTTCATCACATCTTACTTTAAATGAACAAGTTTCGTTTTTTTTAATTTGTACGTGACTTTCTATCGACTCATTATACTATGTTTTTTTGTCATGCCGTAGACGCAGAATACATAACGACTTAATTACTATGAAAAACTACCAAAATCTTACCTGTGAGCCGCCACGTACATTTTGAAGTACACCAGTATGAGCGCGACACAAGGCGCCAAAAACGCGATCAACAGCAGCACTAGACCGTGCGTTTTCTCCAACATCGCAATGGGTTTTTTGTCGTAAACCAGCAAGTCTTTGAATATGATCGGCGATGCCAGGGCGACCGATAAAGTCCAAACCATACCTATGACTAAACATTAAATTGAAATTATCATTTTAAACCGGCGAGAAAATCTTAAATTGTTTCGGGGTTAGAAGAATTAATGCATTTTAAACTCGTTGCATCGAAAACATTTTCATGTTTTGTGACGTGTGTGAAATATTTGAATCAGTTGTATTACGTGGTCTATTATATTTATAGATTTACTTGTTTGGCGTTGTTTATTGGAACAATTGTCCACGGGTTAAAATAAAAAAAAACTAATTCCAAATGAATATTATTGATTATTTCTATATAAACACTATAATATTTTAAAAACTAAATTTTTTCTACAATGATACAATTCCATATAAACTATAGTCGATATTGTAGGAATATGAGAGAATAATTATTATCCGTTTTGTATCTCCCCATTTCTATCTCAGTCCCAATCACAGTTAACTGTGTTGTTGCCGGTTATAAGTACCTAATCTCTTGATCAGGACAATCAAATTAAAAAATAATAACTGTTTTGTTCTATCCATGTCGCCCAGGTTACAAACAAATCAACAAAAAAAAGGCGATTTTCGTTTCGGAAACACCGAAAATCTATTATCACGTCACCCCTCAGGGTTGAATTTTCAAATTTCAACTTGGAGTGCCAATGAACGTGTTCTACCGCTTCTACGAGAATTGTCTGTGTTCATTAGATTCAGACTATAGACCAACAAATTCTTCCTTTTATTAATATAGATGGAGAAATCGTTTTAGATTCGGAACGTATTGATTTTACTATGATGTGAGTTATTTTTATTTTTTTCTGTCTATAAACAACTTTTCTACCTGAAATCTTACTTCGAAGTATCAAGTGTAGCACTTTTACGACCTTTCAAAACATTGTGTGTAATTGAACTTCACTCTGAATCGTCTTTCGTTAGCAATAGTTTATCGTTGGTTACAGATATAATTTAAATAATTTTATATATCCCACCTTCCCAACTACCCACCTACAACAGTGACCACACCCGTCTCCAGTATCAACTCTGCCTTTTTATATACTTTTTTTTTTTTTTATCACTATACCTATATTTTATGTTATTAACTCTTAAAACTATAATGAACGATGATAAGAAGCGTAGAAATAAAAATAAAATAGAATAAAAAGTAAATATTTGACAATTTTGGATTTATGTGGTACCGAATAATAAATGGGTTTTCCGTATCGATCAAAAGTCATCGTTCTCTATTTCATATCGTTATAGGTTAGGTATATTATACTCTCGTAATCGTGACTGTCTGTAAGGTTATTTAAAGTTAATTCGACTTGTCGTGGTTATTTTTTATTTTGCGTTTTCAATCGTATATACGAGTATTTTCTGTCATGTACTATAATGTACGTAGGTACTTAAACAGAGTCGATATTTTATCATATGCCGTTTCTTATATTGAAGGTTTGGTTTGATAATATTTCTATGCGAATAGATTCTATATAGTACATGTAAATAGTGTAGAAAATTGATCGATTTTAAATCTATTTTACGAATTTCCCAGATTTTACCACGAAAATTCCACACATACATAATAGGTTATAAAGGTTCCTCGAGTACCTATACTACGGTAGATAACTATAGTGTTCAGTTGTCTCGTTTGCTAGAATATGATGGGAAAAAGTTTGATGCGATACGTCACAGCCTACAGGAGCATAATCGATATTTCATTCGCCCTTACCTTAGCCGATATTTTTCTAATTTCCCATTATTTTATAGTTAAAAACGAAATAACGATAAACTTAATTAAAAATAATTAATTACGTATACTCGTGGTTTAAATATTGTAAATTCTAAAATTTTAACTACCTGTCTAAAAACGTTATTATTCGTGTAAAACATCTGATTCCATTACGGAAAATTTAACGTGAAACGACCAGTTGTAATATAATTTATGTAAAAATTTCCGGTCTATAGTCCTTTCTCTCAAAACCAGCGTTTGACAGATTTAGATACCGACGTTTGCGAAAACATAATGCTTTTAATTTTTAAAAGAAATATCTGTAAATATTTTTTTCAAACAAAATATTAGACGAAAATTATGATAATAATATTTAAATATAGGTGCCCCCGTCTTTATCCACTATGAGCAATATTCAAATTATTCAACACATTTGACAGTCGATTAATCATTACATAACATTTTTTTTAATATAAAATAATAATGTTAAACTAAAAAAACCATCAAGGTTAATGCAGGGTTGCGATTCACTAAAATATAACTGTATACAAGACGACAGTGATTACTGGCGAATATTAAAAGTAGGTACCTGAATTTTAATTTCGCTTTTATACGCGAAAAATCCTGTTCGTTAATCATCAAACTACATTTCGTCCGATTATTTAAATTTTTCTTTTTATTATATTCTTTTATAGTTACATAAGAGCATTTCTAGTTAAAAGGCGGTCACTCTAAATATCAATATTCAAGGAGCTCTATATATAAACCATAATATAATATGTTTACCCTAAAACAGTAAAAGTACTCCCCAACTGACTTTAGTATATTTTACTCGTTATAGAAATTTAAGACAACATTATAATATAACTAGATAAATGCAATTTCGATTTTCAATTAATTAGTGGACAATATTAATATTCAAAATTAAAAGCTGCCCTGATCTTAGAATTAAGTAAAAACGATTCCCTAACTTTTTTATAAACTAATATTCAACAAAATGAATAGGTACAAAAACATAGAAACTATACAATATTCAGTTACAATTTAATTTATGATTTACATTGAAAATACACTTATTATTGGTTGTTCATTAACCAGCTAGTTCTCCTAAAATTGGATAGTTCCTTTCTGTACGAAAATGTACGAAATAAACTTATATCAACAGTTATATACGTATTATATTTGTATGTCTATATTTATATTCACTAGGCGTAAATTAGTAATGGAAAAAATTAAAATATATATTTCTACAGAAGTGATTTCAAATGAAATTTAGAAGGATTTTAACGCAATTATCTTAATACAATCTCTTATTATTATACGATATTTAAATTAAAACCCGAGTCAAAATTTGCATTTTAAATTAAACGGTATATAGCTATTGAATTTTATAAACCCTAGCGAGTTGATGGTTTTATTTTTTAAACTATGTTCCATTATTCATTTTATCGGTGCACTCTGAAAATAATAATATTACGACTGGAATCATTTAGGTTCAAGGTTATTGATAAGTAGATACATTGTTGCTCTATTTGAAACTTATAAAAATAAAAAAAATAACAAATAAAATTCAAATATAAGAAAATATTCAAAATATATTCAATATCATCGGGAATATTTTAATAAAAAAAAAGCATATATAGATATTCATAAATATTATATTTATAATATATTATGTTTACATAAATAAATAATATATATATATTCTTAATATAGACTTTTTAGTTGTGGAATATTTCAATATTTTGTATTCTTAGCAACGCAAAAAGGCTGCCTATTTGATTAAAAAATAGGGTAGGATCCGAAATTTGTTTTTAAATTTTCATGTTTTCTGAGCTGGAAATTTTTTTTTTTTGTTCAGTTCAAGACTTGTTGCCTTTATAGAATACAAGACATAAAATATTTGTTCAAAAAAAAATGTATAATGTATTAATGTATATTATATTATATATAATATAAATAATAATATATATATAATAATATATATATAAATATATATATACATATAATATTATACAATTTACTTATCACGATTTAAATATTAAGCGCGTCAAAATATAGGAAACACATTCGTCAGAAACGAGTTAACAATTTATGAGAAGTTTCAAGTGAAATTAATATTAATAAACTATTAGCGCACGTCCATCAAAATAGTATGCACGTCCAACATTTAAAACATATTTAATTGCTACTTTATCACAAGTGCTTTTTATTTACGAAAACAAAACAAAACCGTTAAAAATGGTAAAAATAATATTTTAATGAAGTAAAAGTGTCTTATAAATTATTTAGTCCTTTGCAAGCTTTACTACGGTATACGCAGAAAATAATCAGTTATAAAATCGAAAAAAAAAAATACAATTATAATGATATACATGCGATAGTGTTTTTAAAAAATTGAAAAAAAAAGCTCTCCTGAAAATAGATATTATATTGTGTGACCTAAAGCTGTTTGGCCTCTTATACCTGATAATCATATAATATAATATTTAAAACCGGCATTAATATTATACTTTACTGTTTTTACCACCAATGGTTTAATTTTGACTTTAAAACGTAACCTTAAACAATCGACTTGGATTATTATGACTTAGATCTACCATATTATCATCCCTTTTATTTTTTTATAATTTTCCAAAAATGTCATTTTTGTTACAACTTCTTCGGTTTTTCTTTTTACTCTTTCAACATAATATACGCGGAAATTAAACGTCTTCATTTAAAATATAAAGCAAACATACACAAATGTTATTAAACACAGGAATTGTTTAAAATCATTTATATTGATTACTGCAATATTAAACACTATTTTCGAGTCTTCGCGTCGCTAACCCATTCTATTGAATATTCATTTTCAAACGCAAACGTGTCTAATACAATGAATTGGAGCTTATAAAAAGTCTGCAATGTGCATAAAGGTACTCGAAGTAAGCGTCTTGTTATATTTGTAATTTTGTATTTTCACTTATATATTTACACAGTTTACACACTTGCTTAAGGTAGGTAACAAAAAAAAATAACTGATACTGCTAATGAACGTTCTACTTTTATAGATGGAGAGTTGGGTAGGTAGAAAAAATAGAGGAATTAAATTTAAATCTATACGCAATCGTTGCCAACAAAAAAAAAAAACCCCCGGACGATATTCAGTGTAATACATTTTAAATAGTACGATTTTTAAGATTTTTACTAACTACTCAAACGTTAAACACTTATAAAACAACTACTATATTACGCCAAACTTATAAAGTCTGAATGTTTCGAAAAATCTATTGGTTTTACTATGTGTGGTTTTTTTCCTTCTTATTAATTTCCGTCTGTAATCAAGTTTTTGCCAGAAATCTTGTTCTAATAAAAAGATGATAAATATTTTTTTTAATACAATTAAGATCTAATTGATGCATTAGAAAACTCATTTTTTGATTTTCCAAGTGATTCTAATGTTTGGGAAAAACTAGAAAAAAAAAGTGTAGGAAAACAGATAAATAATTACGACATTAATAATTTTATTATTTAAACTTGTATACTAAACTCGATTTTACCAGAAATCTTACTTTAAATTTTATGAACAACACATTTTCTGATATCAAATTTTGTCTTATTAGTGTGTACGTTTTAATTATAAAAAAAAAAAAAAACTATTACATAACGAAAACTTTTATAGATAACCATATCCATTATCCACGCATCTCTAAACGCCGAAACCAATACATATAATATAAACTGTCGTTATTATATTATAACAATCACAGCTTTCTCGTACAACTTTATTAATTACCAACAATTAGTTACCACTTATAGGGATTACCCCTTTTAGCTTTTTTCGATAACAAAATAATTATTAATAGTTTTCGTTGTTTATATTTGTTTTTGATATTGAATTATTTTCGTTTAGTAACGGTTTTTAAAAACGTTTTTCTTATAATTTTATTTCCGCTTTTTTCAGATTATATTGAAAACGCTTTAAAAAATTTAAAAAATGATTTCTCTTAAAAACCGACTAGATCCAAAATGTAACAAAAAAGTTCACTTGTCATTTTTCTGGTCGAAAAGTTGTTTACCGAAAGACAAAAACCCACATCATAGTAAAACCAGTAGATCCTTTGCTTCACATGGAATCTTAAAACCACATAATAATACAACCAATAAATTCCTTTCTCCGTTCTGAATCTAAAGCCCATATCACATAGACAAACACATATCTTATAAACACAAAAATAATAATATTTTATTCCTATGTGTAAAATTATTATAAAAATATAACACGGTTGATACATACCTAAAACGCTTTTTTGCCTGGTGACATTAGTCGCGTAATGGAGAGGACTTAGTACTGCTGTGTATCTGTCCATAGCTATGACCAGTATTGAAAATATCGTGGACGTGGCGACAAATACAATCAAAACTTTATTTATAGTCTTAACGCCGGACACCAGAAATGATGGACCGAGAACGGTCGACGACAACAGATCGGAAGCAATTAAACTGCCGACAAATCTGTAATTATATATATTATTAAATTTTAAACAAATAATATGTCAATTTCAATTATTATATGTGGAAGAGTAAATAATATAAAAGCAAGATAATACAAGATAATAAAGATAAAGATAAATAAAAAAAAAGATAATACAAAATCAATATCTATTAATTATAATCACGAAATTATGCAAATAGACGAGTTCACATACTATTAAAAATATTATAAATAGCAATACCGAAAGCAGTGCTCAAATTTGGAGTGACGCAGGGCGGAGTACTTCAACTAATTTTTCAAAAATTTAAGCTTACCTCTACTATTTTTTTCAGGTGGAACACATGGGACACAGTGGCAGATACAAAGAGGGAGCGATAGGCGACCGTCCCCCCTCAGGCAATGCGATTCTAATGTCCTACGATTGTTTATATAATTAATAATATGTATCTTTTTAATAAAATACGCTACTCATTGGAATCATCTGACACTTTTGGGATAGTACATATTTTACACTTCCAAGCAAGATATATTTCCATTAAAATTTGAACGTCAAATGCTTATAAAAAATACTATATTACATTCAACTTTTTTCTCCCGCTAGTTGCAACTTACCAGAATAATTTCAATCATAAAAAACTAAATGAAATTCTAGAAAAATTGAAAATGTACTATAAATAACTGAAAAATTTCCAAAATGTTTTAAAAACTGTACCATGTCTGGAGAGGGCTGTATATATATATAAGAATATTCCTATATAAGTATTTGGTGAAATTTCTGGCTTCTACGATTATTTTTCATTTAATAAACAGAAACCATTACTCTGAAAATGTAACAGTTAAAAGTTTTCTCGGCGTATTTTCTAGGGTTTTCCCCATAATTAAGAATACTACAAAGAAAATCAAAAAATAACTTCCTCATTGCATCAAGAGATAAATTATTTTACTAGAAATCACATCTAATGATGACGATCGGAGCAATATTTTTGGTAGAAAAGTTGTTTACATGACATAAAAAACTATAAAAAAACATAAGTCATACAGTAAAATCGTAGTAGAGTCTAAAATAAATATTACATTATGTAAAAAAAGATTTATCTTGCAATAGTGTTATTAGTGTTTGTTTTCGGAAATTGTCAACTATTGAATTATTTTCGAAAATTAGTACAGAGGTGTGATGCCCCCTACCGGTTAGGTTGAACTCAATAATCGTAAAGGACACTAAGTTTGAGTGAATCTTAAAGTCTCTCTCCTTTTATTTTTCCAATTCGAGCACTAGCAGGAAGAGATAGTTTTCTAAGCTAAAATAACTTTCAACAAAACAATTTCACATCAAAGCATACTAAAATAGTCTAAAAAAATGCATTTAAGACATAAGTTTTGAGCATACTACTATATAGAATTTAAACTTGGACGATAGTAACAAAACATCATAGGAGATCAGAGATGTTCCGAATGAAGTTTTACAGAGGATGTTAAAAATAAGCTGGCCAGAAAGAATAACAAATAATGAAGTACTGAATTAAATATCGGAAATAAGAACACTATAGAAAAACTTGATACGACGAAATGAGTGGACTAGACATATAATCAATATTTCAATTGGTAGAGGGTCGTGGGGAGACGAAGTACCACTTCTTATCTTAAAATATTTTAGCATACCACTCCTAATTTTTCATAATGGTCTTCATTAGGTTGAATTCAATCTAAACAAGGGGCGATACATTTCTTTAAGGCTCATAGTTCTCATTTTTTTTTTTTTTTTAATTTGAGTATAGCTAGACATAGCTCAAAATGAAAGTATAATAACAAATTATTTTTAAATTAAATAAAACTTCAATTCATAAATCATTTTTTTTTTCAAATGTCACAATGATAATGTATTTTTTTTTATCTTGTACGTATAGTATTGTTCATATTATTTTATTAAGTTAAAATAACATTAAATGGTAATAACTATAGATAATAAATAATTAGACAAGACCCGCCTATAATAATTTCATTGAAGTCTCGTGCTTTTTTAGGAATAGAGATATCATAGATTTTAAAAAAATAAGTTATATAATGTCAAAAAAAATAAAATAATTATTGTTTTACAACAAGAATTATTTGATATATAATAAAAACTTTAAAACATCAACCAGCCTTGTATGTGTAATTTTGAATTATCGAAAAAAAAAACATTCGAATTAACTTTTAAATAAAAGTCCACCATATCATAAACACAAATATTTGTTGTGTAATAACTTTGTTGATATTTTATAAAATCTATTACCCATTTCAATTTGATCATTCCTAATTATTTATAATTTCAATAATATACTTATAAGTATTAAAAAATCTATAATCCTATTAAAATTGATTACAAAAAAAAAAAAAATAAAACCATAAATCATTCTTCTTTTTTTTTGTTTTAATCCCTGCCACTAACTTTAAAAGACGTCTTTTAAAAATATAATTAAAAAAAAAAAGTATTCCTAGTTTTGAACAACTTCGTCACTTTTCTTCGTAATCGTATACCTATTTATTAATAATTAAAAATATTTTAACAATATAAATAATACTATCCATTCTTTATGATATTAATTTATTAACACGTATAAGACTACAACGCTAAAATTGACCGTCTAGAAACAAAAAAACAAAATCGATTACAAATGATAAAAAATAAAACAATTTTTAAACGGATAATTCTTAATTATTTTTTAGGTAATACATAATTTAAAACATTGAAAACGTATGAATTATGAAACTAAAATAATTATTATATTATAATATACCTACATCAGGTATATTAATTTTTTAGAATTATTATTTACTCGTCTCAACACACTTTTACTAGCGCTTTACTAAGTATTAATTAATTAAAATAATGAAATGTTGGCTATGTAGGAAACGAGTCCTTAAATAGTCTCGCCAGTCAGTTAAAATAATAATAATTGAAAAATAAACAGTAGTCGACCTGTTTGAAGGAGATCTGAGTGAAGGCTTCTTGTAGAACATCACTAGTACGACAATGTTGAAAAACGCTCCGAGTACGGCTAAAAATCCAATGCACGTAATTTTGACCACTGTAACAAACAATTAATCACCGCAATAATATCAATATCAATTTAAAACTAATTTAAACACATAAATAATATATATTTTAGAACAAAACGATTATTTTAACAAACGTTTTTTTTTTTTAATTTAATTATTTTAATTTTTAAATTTTATAAATTAATTTAAGAGACGCTTTACTTCCTGGTTTTTCATCATTATTAGTAAACTACAAGAAAGTTTTAAAAATAAGCTACTTTTTTAACACAACCCGATAAAATTGATTCCCCGAAACCCGAAGTTCATGAAAAATCTAAAAAAAAGAAGTCAAAGAAAGATTTCTGGTCGAAAATTTATTCACAGAAAACGAAAATAAATAAAAATTACACGTCATAGTAAAATCAAAACGTCCCTTGCTACGCTCGTGATTTGAAAAATATAAGTGTATACTTGACAACATCTATGGCAGGTCCTCCGAAAACACCATAAATGATGGTCCTTTAATCTTTTATGGTTAGGCAAAGGGTACAATAGGCGCGGTCCAGTAGTTAATACGTCTATGGATTATACTAATTTACTATACACGCTATAGGAAAATAGAAAATTGATAGATCGGTATTTCGGTGATGGAAATGGCGTATGCAATGATTTTGTTGGTCCGTTTTGCTATAGTGATGGTAGCACAGGAGTATAAATGAAAATATGAAATATAGCTTTATTTCCAGCAAAACACGGAACAATAACATGACAAAATTACATTATTGTATACCGCACGCCGTGCGGTTGTTTAATCGGACAATAGTGTGCGCGAATGAAGACCGAAAATTTTGCAGTTAAAATCCAAGAACTTTCAAAGTAGACACTTTACGTTTTCGTTGTCGTGAGTTCTACCGAATTTGGATGCCAATAATAACAGCTGCAGACATACCCAATAATAATTTATATGAATTCGATCAGAATTTCGCTGTCAATCCTTTAAATAAGTCAACCGAAACCGCTTGATAATAATATATGAATACCGAGGCACGAACACAATAAATAAATCCAAGATAATCGCGACCAGAACGAGAATAGAGAACGAGAACAGAACGTTAGTATTAAAACAAAAATGGTTTGGTTCCGTATCATTTTCTATAAAATGCATTAAGTTCAACGCTTGTGAATGCATACATATATTATAGAAACTACGTCAGCCTATACTAGTTATGCATCGTTATGTTTCAACTCTCTATAATTATTGTTAATTTGACACAGACTTCAATAGATTCAAAATAACTCTTAAAAGAACCGGTTTTAGGGCTTTTCGGGTGTTTATTCGGCTACGTGTATTTTAATTTCGGGTGCAGAGAAGAAACTATTAACTAATTTCTAGTTTACTGAGCTGTACTAATACTGTACACGAATATATCGGCAGTGGGACTTATCTAGATAAATTTTTGGTCATCTTTTATCTTATTTAGATAAATAAAACCAAGTTATCTAAGTACTTGTCTAAGATAACATTTTTACTTATCTAGATAATTGTCAGAAACCAACTAACCCTCAACATTTTAAAATCGAGATTTAGGTTAACTGGGTAGAAAATGTCAGATTACGCATTTTGCTAAAAACAACCATATACCACTATTGGAGTGTAACGCTTTCTATGAATATTTCAAAAACGTACAGAATGAACCTACTTAGTTATTTTACAGGAATATGACATATTATATAATGTTGACGAAGCATCACTATCAATTGAACTCTGCTCAGAATCGTTTATATAGTAAACAATAGTTGATCGTTGCTTACAGATTTGTTGCATCCATCATATTTAGAGACGTCATTTTTCGATTTTCTCCAGAGTTTTCTCAACAAATTTGAAAAACCAAAACAAAACGTTGGACAAACAGAACAATTTAAGAAATATAGGCATTAGTTAAAATAATTATTACGGCTTTATTTTTTCCTGTGAACAACTTTTCTACAAACAGTTTTGCTCCAATTTATAATGGTAGCAATGTTTCTAAAAGGAAATTTGACTGGGGAAGTACTATAAGGAGGACATTTTTCTATTTTCTCAAGAGTTTTCCCATCAAATGTGAAAAACCAGAAAAACATGGGAAAACCAGGAAAATCGGTACATAAAACAAATATTATGAAAGATAATATAAAATGCTTATTTAATTAATTTAACATAATATAACATATATGTTGTTTACACAGCATCACTATTAACTGAACTCTGCTCAGAATTATTTTTTCGTTAGCAGTGATTAATTGTTGCTAAAAGATGTGCATTAAAATATCTATAACAGTGGCTGCAGCTGTCTCTTTTACCCTAGGACATTTTGTTTTTAATTAATTATTTAAATTACCTATATAATATATAAAAATAATTAATTTATAATTAAATAATCATAATTGTAATATAAAGCGTTTTTTAACACCCATCTTGAGTGTTTCGACTAATTTTTTATACACAAAAAAAAAATAAAACATCAGCTAATATTAAATATAAACAAATAACATTTTTTTAAAATGTCTATTTTTTATCTAGATAAAAATGTAATTATCTTTTGTCTTATTTTAGATATTTTCAATTTTTTTATCTTTTATCTTTTTTAGATAAATTTTGCACTATCTATTCCCAACACTATATGTCGGACCAATATTGATTTTGGTGGTTTAAAGTTTATATATATTTATTTATAAAAACGTAAAACGAAGCTAAAGAGAAAAAAATATTTCTGTCTGACTTCCATATAACGTACTACTATACGAAATGTTAATTATTTATATAATTAATAATCGAAATCGATTAAATTTGACGTGTCACAATTTTCAGAAAATACACACTTATAAATGAGTTAATTTTACAAACATATTTATAATGTGAAAAAATAAAGAAAAACCGTTATGATGTCTTTTTTTTTTTTATCGATCAACATGATTTCCAGTGAATTTTTCGTTTATAGACGAAACATTAAGAAAATGGGTTTTTTTTTTTTTTGAAACTAAGTACTTTTTTATAATAGTATAAAAAAAACTGACAGTAAATAACGATAAGTGGGGTATTTTTTTTGAGAAAATCAACGATAAACATTGAATAACGATTAAACCGCCACTTTATTTTTTATGGTTCTCTAAAATTATGAAAAGGTACCCTAACGCGATACTAATCTCTGTTCAGTTGCTGGGAGTTGTAAATAATTTAAAAAAATTAATTATTTTAAGTAATTATAAAAAACAATTATACTATTTTCTTATCTGTAATTTTCATTTGTTGAGTTCATTAAACCGAACGTATATTATGTTCATTGATCAAATTCAAACCTAATTTACGAAAGCAGAAATGTATTATATAACCGAAGAAAAAAATAAATAAATAATTGAAACAAATCACCGACAAATAATAGACTGGTAGCGTTCAATTTAAATGCTATTCACGTAAGAAATAACGCATCACGGCCATCAACCATCATCAACACTGCTACAGTAAAATATTAACTTCGGTGAAGTGAAAACAGATTCATCTAGTGACAATATTCGTCAATGTTTTAGGGAACTTCGAAAAAAAAATGACATCCTAGGATAATGGAGACAGGTAAAGCTACCGTAATAAATAATTTAATGTATACCTATAAGCAACGACATAAACCATTGCTTACGAAAAAACGATTCTGAGCGGAGTTTAGTTGATATTAATACTTTGTCAACAATATATATGCCATATTATGGTAAAATAATTAAATAGGCTCTATATATTTTCTTTAATAACATTTGTTTAATATTGTTCCTATTTTCTCGGTTTTCTCAGTTTTTTACATTTGCTGAGAAAACTCCGGGAAAAATGGAAAAAAGACCTCTTTAAAGTACCCCAATGAAATTTCTTTTCAAAAACATTGCCATGATTAAAATATGGAACAAAATTAGTGGTAGAAAAATTGTCTACAGAAAAAAAATAAACATCTTTATAAAACCATAAGTTTCTTCGATCCACTCAAAATTTAAAAGTACAGATTCCATTTGAAGGAACAAACTTAGAGAATTGAAAACGACTATTTTTCTATATGGACTATATGATTTATACTATATTTATATAGTATAGTATAGTATAGTATATAGTATAGATGATAACATTTTCTTATTGAGAGCGTGCGTTATCATAAGAGCAGGTAGATATTTCAAAAGATTTGAGAAACCCTTGAATATTATACACTCGTTATGTTTGTCCGTTTATCTTTGAAATTTGATCACACATAGGTAAGTCTAATATAAGTATTATTACCAAGTTTCAAGTCTCTACATGTATTTATAACTGAATCACAGAAATTAAAATTCCTCAGAAGCTCAAAAGTTTTGACGATGATACCGTAAAAAAGTAAATAAAAAAGGCAACAAAAAGGTAGAAAAAAACGTGTCCACAGACTAGAAGAAAGAAAGAAATAATAAAAAAAATAAACATTTTAGTAAAACCAATAACTCTCTCGCTCAATCTAAAATGTAACTTTACGGGTTGTTATTAAGAATATTATGTTAACTAAATTCAAACAAACCGATTATATGCACGTTAATAATATTTTCACGTCTTTCTCCCCCCTCCCTCCAATAATATTAAAAATGTAACGTGCATTCTGTACATTTTATGAAAATTTTATTTTTTTTTTTATAAGTGAATAATATAATTATCAAAATGACAAGATATACAAAATGAAATATATCAATATGAATATATTTTTCCTTAAACATTTAAATTTTATAATTTACTTGAAAATTAAAAACTTAGTTATATTTCAGACTTACCATTGTACCAGTCCTGGTCAACGTGCATTATGAATCATCCGCAGCCAGTGGATGGTACTCGGCATTTTTACTACTCTAAATTCTGCATTGATAATACTCTCTATAAGAACTCGAATCGCGTACCTGAAATAAAAACAAAAACATCAATATTAATGATATTATTGTAAGTAAACTCCATATAAATATCAACGTTAATTTAATAAGCGTTAGAAGTTTATTTTCAGTGCTCTTTTATGTTTTCCTTTTTTTCTACAAAAAAAATAATAGTTTAACAGGGTAAACAAAAACGACCTGTATAGTTAAATATTTTTATCATAATTTAACTAAAACCAATACATAAGCTATACAATAATTCGAAAATAGTTTATAACCAATCAAAAAAACTAACCAATTCGATAATATTAGTATTTATAAAAACACATATGGTTATTGAGTAGAAATGTATTTTATACGGGAATATCAGGCGTAATAAAGGGGAAACCTTAGAGAATTTACTTCGACTAGTAGATAATTAGAATTCTGAGACCTGGTAAAATCTGAAAATCTGGAACCCGGATACTAAGTCGTTACAATAGGCGCGTTGCATCAATATGATCACCTATAGTCTACGCCGAATAAAATGTAGATCAACGATATTTTTACAATTTTTTTTTTTTATTTTAGATTTATGGCGCAGTGAAGAATTTATTTGTTTTACTATGATGTGTATTATTTTTATTTATTTTTTTATATTTGTAAACCAGTTTTTTACAGAAAATCTTAATCTAATTATCAAAGTGTAGTACCTTGAAGAAAGAAAATTTTATCCGGGCGGTACTTTAAGTAAGTCATCTTTTAATTTTCTAATTTTCATAATAATTTAAAACCTGGAAAAACTTTAGAAAAACGGGAAAATGTACGTACATTTATAAAATAAACTTCGCTCCGGTATAGTTGTTTGTTAACAATGGCTTGTCATTGCGTATAGATATAAATTAAATTCCCCTCTATATCCTACCATCCTAAATTTTCACATTCAATAGTGGCCCATCCATCGAACAAAGTATGTCCATCTCTTTTTTTTTTTTTCATTATGTAAATTATCTACGAAAAAATAGAAAAACAAATAAAACTCAATAGTTCTCAGTTAATGTAATAGTTTTTGAAGAATATCGATAAGGTTCAAAAAGATTTAGTCGAGCTGATGAGATGAGTCTCTCATCGGGTGAATCAAATAGTTTTGATATTTAAATACCACTAATGACAGAGAATAGTTTTAATATTCAAAAATGCCAGAAGTTAGTTTTAAGTTTTGTTAATGAAACGTCGAAAAGCAATAATCCAGTTTCTGTCTAATATAGGTGGCTTTTGACATACACAATAATGTTATATATTTGTTTCAAGTTAGAATCGACCGGATCTGAATGAAAAACGCAATACGACATTTCATTAATAATACATTTGAAATCCATTTATTTAGTAGATAGATATTAAAATAATATTATCTAAGGGGTCTATAATAGTTATATTATTTCAGAGGAAAACTAAACAAAAAATAGTTTTTAATACTTTTCACGAGAAAATTCAAACGAAAGTTGGACGAATGAAAATGAAAATTATATTATTTCAGAACTCGTAGAAAAGAAAAATCGAAAACTTTTCCACGGTAGTAAAGCTCAAGAAATTTTCACTGCAGGGTATTTCAACTTCAATATCGGTTTTCTAGTAAAGTACAATTATATATGATATAATTATTGATATTAGTTATAATATTATATATATAATATATATATATAGTCCATTAAAAAAGTTTTAGGCATAGGCAGACCTAAAGTTGTACATTTGGGTGTGCCCAGTATTCTATGTAGTTATTTTAGATTCTGAGTAGAACGAATAAGCTTATGGTTTTACAAAGATTTTTTTTTTTTTTTTTCAGTGGATAACTTATAAATAATTAACGAAATAATTATTAAAATATAAATAATTCGTAGATACGCATTTGACGTAATTTAAAAAATAGAGACTATACAAAAATGTTTACTGGAATGTGTCGGTCTAAAACTAATAGTATTTAAATTTTAGTTTGAAATCTCGATTTCTTCGATTCGGATGACCATTAAAAAGAATTATTGCCTTATGATAAATTATTGCTTTATGATAAAATCGAATAGTCTGTGTGTATTAGTAAAACATACCTTATTGTTTTTAAATTATCATAAATATGAATTTCGGACTCTTCTTTGGAAAATGCATGGTGAATCTCTAAGCACACTTTTCTCAGAAGTCATATTATATTTATGAGAGCAAGAATTTTCCACAATAGATTGTACAATTGTAAATATAAGGAAAACTAAAACGAATATGAATGTTGAATTCGTCGAAGAACAATATGTCTTTCACATATTCGATTTTGAATAAAGGATTTGTGTGACAAAAAAAAAACATCAAATACCTAAGTCTCAATATCGTCTTGTTGACCTATTCAATTTGTATTTATTATAAACAACAAATTATAGTTGGAAATATTTATTCATACAGGACAAGCACAAAAAAAAAAAAAATACGCATATCACATAATAGTAGTAAAAGGTAAATTATGAGTCCATGTTATTAGTACGCATAAAACGTGAAATAAGAATTTGTATAGTATAATGAGCGGACAAGTGTGATATAAAGAAAGAAGATGAAAAACGCTTAAAACTAAGTGATAAGACCCGGAATTAAAAAAAAAAGCTGCGATAGTATGTTAGGAGAATCAATTATTCTATAAAAGAGATTGGACAAGAATAGGGAGTTAGCAAAATGTCTGCGGTCAGCAAGGTTATCTAACTCATGAAGGATAAAAGAAGAGTATAATCGTGAGGAAGACTAAAAATATTTAGTCTAAAATCAACAAGATTAATAAATTTCTTCGGGACACGCTCAATCGTCATATACCACTGAAAAAATTAAATTCCAGTGGACAAAACCATGTTCAAAGATAAAACAAACAAGAAAGCAAAAAAGACCAAAGGATAAGAGTGAGTTATTTTACAAAATACATAATTGTGTAGGATAATGAATTGTACTTATTTATGTAATTACTGTTAAGGGCAAATGTGTTATTTTCGATGTGCACTAAGATCACACTGTCTTAGAGATTACTGCAGTCCTGGTTAGAATGACACATATTATTTTATCAATTTGTAATAACAAAATAAATTGCAATATATTATTTTTTTCTTTTTTTTTGAATTTTATTATAAATTTTAACTTATAACTCATATAAAAGTTAATTACGACACATAACGCGCAACTTTATGTTATACTACTAAACACAATTTATGATGAACCTCGTTTCTTTTTTAGCATTTATTTGAACCAACAAAATGTTATCCATATAAGACCATGCGATTTTAACAGCTGTAAATAACTCAACAAATCCGAGGATATTTCGAAAAGCTTATTACGTTTAGAAAATACTAATAAAAGTAGGTACTGGGTAAAATTTCAGATCTCTACGGTTATTTTTCATCAAATATTAAAACGAGAAATAACAAAATGTGTGAACCGTTTATTCGATAATTTTATCTGGTTTTTCACCAAAAGTGGCACCAACTAAAGAATATTTGTTATCACTACTAAATTTATGACTGGAGTCAGTTTTCTGGTCTAAAAATCATAAGAAAACACGGAAAGTGGCCCACTATCTTCTGGGGTAGTAAATTACATATATATAACCAGTACACCGTTGAGTGCAATGATTATTGCACAATTATAAATAAGTTTTCTTTGCTAAATAGTTTATATTATATACCATTTTCACTTTAACACTGCCAAGGAGGGACTGAAACCCTCTCATTCCTAATATACGTTTATGACTTAATTTATAATATTGATAGAACATATTGTGAATGAAATAAAAATAAAAATTATTCAATTGTCGTGTTAGACATTCATTATTTAAAAATGGGTATGTATTCGTTAGCTGTATATATTTATACACTAAAACTATGCGATAATAAAAATAAAATAGTAAAATTGGTAGTACGAGTAACACCATTCGTCATCTAAAACCGTCAGCTATAATAATATATAAGGTGTCCCCAATATTAATTGACAATTAATGTCCAAACGATATTTTTTTTGGTCCTTGTTTACGTAATACAAATATTGTCCGAGTATTTCTAAGTCACACGGTTAAACACACAAACCTTTGACCTTCGGACAAAATATGTAAAATGTACACATACAGATAAATAACGTTCTAAACGTGTATTTATAAAAAAAAAAAAACAAAATTTTCAATACATACAGGGTAATCCATTAATGATTTTAAAACACAGATTTGAATGGAAAATAATTTTCTGTACATTTGGTATGCATAAAACAATTTATGTAAACAGTTATAATTTTACAATGTTGTAGATTAAAGTTTAGTTCGGAGGAGTATAAAAATAATTAATCATCTGCAAAACATCATGCACATAAAAACTCCTCTCACCTGTTGTCCCAGCGCACATCCGAGATGAGACAGTGGGCCAAAGTCTTGTTTAGAACACACCATAATCTTTGACAAAATTTCACACCGGCTTTCATTCTGATGCAACCCCATTTGTCGCCTCTTACGATAACTAGGTAAAGGTACCGTGGGAGTATTCTGATCCCCTCTCATAGAAAGAACATTCCAATGCTATTCAACTTTTTTTTTATATATATTTTGTAAAATTAATTTTTATTGAATATTTTTAGGCTTATAGCTATAATAAAACTTTTAGATTATATTTTCTACAATTTTTATGAATGCGATGAATATATGAATTTGATGTTAACTATTTATATCACACTAAAATATTCTAACTATTCGTTATTATTCAAATATCAAATTATAATATAAACACCTGTAAGAGAGGCTATCATTTATAAAATCTACACGAAAAGAAATATTAACCGTTTCAAAAATATAATATAACCGACTAAATAAAATTATAACGAAGATATTTATTCAGTATCTCCGAAAATCATCTCTACCTTAGGGTTAGAATAAATAAAAGTAAAATTTTTAAAATTAATAAAATATTTTTAATTGAAAATTTCGAGTATAATATGCCGATATTCCAAAGAAAATAACCCTAAATAAACACTAATAATTCTCGATACATTTAATTTGTAAACTCGAGAAATAAAAATAATCCAAAAAAGTGAAAATATAACGTATAAAAAAAAATGAATTCTAATAAAAGTTTGTAAAACTATTTGAATAATATTATATTTTACACAGTAACAAGTTTAAAAATAATTTAAATACTGAACGTTAATAACAATCATTTCACAAAAAAAATTGCACACGGTATTTATTATAATACATAAAAATTTTTTTTGTTCGAGTTATGTATAAAAAAATATAATAATAAAAAACTTAGCGTGTAATAGAAAATGTTTTTTTACAATAGTATCCGACAAGTTTCAAAGTAAAATAATATTCAAACATACCCAAGATATATTAAAATTAAATATAAAGTTATCTACACTGTAAACTGAAACTTAAGTTTATCAAAAGCACTCTTATAAAATGAATAATTAATATCTTGAATAATATCCGATATTTACATTACAAATACTAAATATCCATAGAATTTAATATAAAATTATTTATTCTGTATTTATAGATACTTTTTTACTAATGTTAGATAATGAACACAACAAGGAATATATTGGTTCTAATATATTATACTAGAACCAAAAATTGAGTGTTTTTAGATTCTGAATATAGTGAGGAATGTATTGGTTTAAACAATGATGTGAGCTTATTTGTTTACATTCATTAAAAAGCCAGTCTATTAATTTAACTGTATTTGTGATTTTCTTCTTTTTTTTTCATAGGTCATTAATTTATGTATAATCTATAATAAAATTTGCAACAAGTTATTGGCCGGACATCACTAAATTGTATTGCACGAATTTATTTTATATACGATATTTTATCTATATAAATATCTAGACGCTAATAAGTAATTTTTAATGATTAGGAATATAAATAATTAAAACATATCGTTAAAATTTGTATAGGTTCACATAATATCATGAAAATATTCGCCGGTTAGTGGTTATTTATTAAATAACTACCCCAAAAAATACTATTAAATTTCTTTCCATTTATGTCTGGTATAAATATTATAAATGGTTTTCAAAGAACAAGAAACCGAAATTATAATATATATTATACATTACATTATGTTTTATACATACCACGAAATTTAAAGTAAACGAAACATTTCAGTGTATTATATACGTTCGTAGATAATATTTTATTTATATTTCTATGCAAACAAATATTATTTAAATTAAAATGTAAATATCGAATCCTTAAGACATATGTTAAAATAAATAAATATGAAGAAAAACAAAACTTAGCAAAGTATGATATTTGGTTATAATTATTAATGAATGGTTTAAATTTTAAAAAACGGACATACTTCGCACGTAGGAAGGCCACTGTTGTAGATGAAAAGTCAGGAAGGTAGTAGAGGGGAAATTTAATATATATCTGTAAGTAACGATAAACCATTACTAACGAAAAGAAAATTCTGAGCGGAGTTCAGAAAATATTGTTCCTTTGTCAACAATATGTGTGTCATATTATAATAAAATAATAACATAGGCATTATATATTTTCTTTAATAATAATAGTTTAATATTGTACCTATTTTCACGTTTTTCTTACGTTTTTCCCATTAATTTGGAAAACTCTTGGGAAAATCGAAATATTACCTCCCTGAAGTAACTCCCCACTTCCCCAGGCAAATTCTTTTTTAATAAAAATGTTATACATTACACTTGAGAACAAGATTTCTGGTAGAGTTTTAGTAAATAGCATAAAAAAATAAAAAAATAAACATCTTTGTAAAACCAATACATTTTTCACTACACTCAGAATCTAAAATACGAGTAGTACTACGAATTGTATAATATAATAATTAGGCTTATTTTACCCGAGTATTTTTAAACTAAATTAGCACCACTGCGTATATCGGTTAGTAGGTAAGTGTATACTCTATAGACTATAACACTGCCGACGAAAAAATTCTGATCAAAATTAGTAATGTTTAGATGAACTTAAATTAAAAATTATATTAATACATATATTAGACCTTTCTAATCATTGTTCAATTTTCGAAAATATTTGGCCATTATTAAGATATTTAAAATTGTTTAGTTTTGTATAGTTTTTCTTTGATTCTACCTCGGTAAGAATACGCAACAATTCGAAACAAAGTTCAAGTATTAATTTGTTTAAAAAAAAAAAATTCAATGTAATGAAGTAATTTTTTTTATTGACGTGTTTATCTGAACTTTGGCCAGAATCGTCTTTCATAAGTAATGATTGATCACTGAGTACAGATGAAATTAAATTTAAATTTAACTAACCATACATAAAATATAATATAATACTCTCAACATCTCACCGACAACAATCGTACATCAGAAGTACTGTATTTTTTTTTCTCCTAGAAAAACGGCTTAAAAATCAAAATACGACGTTCAAGTACCATCCGTGTTCAATTTCCCAACAAATTAACAAATTGTAAAACAAAACGTTCACTTGTCGTAAACAAAAATATTAACATCAAAATCAAAATTAATAAATAATACATAATTATTTTAAACAAAATATTATGATCAGAAATTAAGAACACGATTTTTGAAGTTAAAGATAAAAAGAAAAACCATATAATTTAGGTAAAGTTATAAATTACTTAATACAAGAAACTAAATACAAAACTTTATTAAATATTGATCGTAAATGGAAGAAAACAATAGAATCAAATATTAGTGCTCATCAATTATGAACGTGAAACAAAAACTTACTATTAAAAAAGTTCAGACGTACATACGGTATACATATACTCGGTAAGTTTTCGCCGTTTGTATCACATACGGTATAGTAGACGCGATTTGTGGTCCAAAGGGAGCTAAGCTCTTTCTGGCATGTACTAAACCTCCTTTGAGTAAAAAGAGCTCAAATACGTTTTATTTTATGTATAATCAAAATACAACATTCACCTGTCTCCATTTAAAAAATAATAGTTAAAGTTTATTAAAAATAAATGTCAATTGATAATTGATCGATGATAAAATAAAAATACTTTTCAAAAAATTGTATTTATATTAATTTTAAATTGTATGTTTACTGTAACTGTAATCTATTTATAATCTAATCAAATAATGTATTAGTTGATCCACCTTGGTTGGTACTTTACTTAACGAATTTGTCAAAACGCATCGTAAAATTAAGTAAAAAATGTAACATTGTAAGGTGTTTAATCATTAATTATATGAACGTTATAAATATAAATGTGTTTTTTTGTTTCTTTTTAGAGAAGTTAAGCGGCTTAACTCATGAGTGCCGGGTTTCAATAATTTAGTGAGTGATAAATTTATTACTATATTTTTTTGTTTTTTAAGATGAAATAATTCATTAAAAGTTGGCACCGTAGTCCCCCTGAATTTGGTGACAACGGTTAAGTTCCTCTCAGGGAAAAACACAAATTGCACTCACAGATAACACATACTTATAGATTTTATTATCGTATAAAAAGTATAAACAAAAACTATCTAAAACAGTTAACATTGTTCAAAATTAAAATTATCGATAGTTTATATCAATAGTTAATCGCTCATAAATATCCTAGCTATAATAAAAACTTAAATATTAATATGAAAGATTTAGTAACTTTGCAGATATAATAAAAACAAAATATAGAGAAAGTTTAAATCTACATTTACGCACAAATTATGACTCCATCACTCTCCCCGTAAACAAATTTAAATGTATAATATCTCTTCAATAGGTTGACAAAAATCAAAGATTTCATTTATTTATCTAATATTCCAACTATTTATGGAATTTATTAACATAAGTGACCATTTGAAAATCAAACAAAGGTAGTTTTCGTTTCACAAAAAAAAGAACAATAACAAAAATAATGAAAATGTAAAATTGTAAAACTGTCTGTTTCATAAATGATAAAAATAAAATGTTTGAATAAATATAATACTGCGATAGGTGTACCTACAATAACTGTCAATTATTGATCGCATTGCATGAAGTCGAACGGCGCATAATACAGGCAATTTTGATACGCTCATGAGTAGGATAATTATATAATGTATTATTTTATTATATTTTGGTTCAATAAAACAAATATTTTGTATAAAATATAATTATAATTTTTACAAACACAAGCAATACTTAACTAGAATAAAATAATAACAATAAACCAACGCTTGCAGAAATGGTGTCTTTGAAAAAAAAGGCCATACAAGATTTTTCAATTTCACCAAAATTATCGCAATAAATAAACGAAATCAATTAAAAATCATTAGTAAATAACATACATCAATTTACCCGGTCTAAAATTTGTTTTTGTCCGAAAAATATTTAGTTTTTCATTTATTTATTTATTTTTTCATAGATTACCATTATAATCATAATAAATATTATATTATTATTATTACGAATAATATAGATTCATAAGAACAAATTGGGGGCTAAGGGACTCAGCCCCATAAAAGATTTCTTTGGTACCCCAAAAGATGGACAAATTTGTATACCGAATAAACTTTTACAAGTAGGATTAGTCAACCGGCACTGTTAGTAAAATTACTTGTTAACGTTCATCCTTTACAGTATGGAGAATAAAGATATGGCTTAATACATATATGCATCAAGCTAAATTTCCAAATGTTTTATTAATCCATACAGAGAAGGATGCATCCAATTATATCAAACAATTATATTAGGTTCTCTTTTTAAAAATAAAAATGCATATTAAAACATTTAAACTTTGAATTATTTAAATAATGTTCAAAAAAATAAACGTACATTAGAATGTAATAATTGTATTGTTTTAATTGTTTAAAAAATATAATAATGTCATTTATTTTATATCCGGACAGTTCTGAGAGGCTGAAAAATAATCCTAATGTATCAATAGAATATCATTTGAAGATCCAGTGAGATTTTTAAAAAATAGTCTGAATAAGATATAGGATTGAATCTCCCAACGGGTCTATTTGGCATTAACTTTTACAGTCTCTCCTCAAGTAAAATATTGGAATTTCGCCTGTCGAAAGATGCCAATAGTGGACTAGTTTTGAGTCTTTTTTTTTTTTTTGTTAATGATAATTTCATGTATTATACACATTCCTGTTTATACGTAATAAAATGTATACCACAAAATGAAAGTTTCAAATACACAATTTATTTTTAAATGCCAACGGACTCCACAACGAAAAACAAAACATACCAATAAGATATCCAAAGCGAAGCAACCGTCATCCAAGTAAACTTAAATGATGTGTTTTTATCTTTAATACAACTTAACTTAGTTTAACTTTATTAATAATGTTGTCATACCCTATTATTTTTTGTTAGTTTAAGTTTTATTTGTAATCATAATCTTTGAGCTAAAAACCCATACTTTAAATAAATAAATAAATAAATATTTAATTAAGAAATCATTAAGCATTTTAAAATATGATATTGATTTTTATTTGCTATACCTATAAATCGGTTTTGTAAAGCTGTAAAAATAAACTCAGAAAACTCTGGATCACATCGCTCAGCTGTTCCAATTAATTAAACGCACTAAGTACATTTTTTAAAAACGTTAAACCCTGACAAAACTTTACATAGTACCTAATTAAATAAACAAATTTTAAAATCGAACAATTATTTTATATAAAAAAAACCCACGACAATCTTTAATGATGAATATTAAAATGAAACGCGGGCTTACGATAAACCTAGTAAGAATTATTATTGTTTTAATCAAATTGTATATTATAATATCGGAATAATAGCTGCGGACTTAATCTAATCTAAACTAAGCAATAACAAAAAAAAAAAAAACAGTATTGGAATGCCAACACACGCGCATAATATTATTATGATAATAAAACTAACGAATTACAGATTTCACGGCATTGTAAAAACGTCGAGCGATAAAATTTTATGTTTTTATACCCTTTCCTCGCAGCCGATGCCAATCTACGCAGACCCGGGTTTTCCCAGCTATATCAAAGTCCGTATAAAATCTTCGTCATCAGAGAGAGAAAGAGAGAGTCAAAACAGACAGTTCGTATTCGAGATCACACATATATATGTATATAAATTCAAAAGTCTTGCACAACACAACTATAATAAACACTACTTCGTGATAAAGCCGTACGTTTTGAATTTGGTCGTTTAGAGTTCATGGCCGTCGATTATCCGTACTTTCAACTCTCGAATATAGAAGAATATTGAAGTCGGAAATTGATGAAGGGGGGGGGCGTAATACTGTTATTATTGCTTGTGGTCGGCGGTGGATAGTTAAAATCACGACCGTGTTTGAATAATATGATTTTATACTATTATTGTACACAAGTTTAAAATTGTTGATACGACACTTTTTTTTCTTTTTCGATTACATTTATCGTGGTGACTCACTCGTAGTAATATAACCCAGTAAAATTTTTAATTTTTAACTATTCCGAATTCGTTTAAGTAAAAAATGAATTTCCATTTGCCTACACGTACAAATATAATATATAGGTAACGCAGATACTTAATTTCTCACGATCGTATATCGTACATTGTACACGAGTCGTAATCGTATAGCAAAACAGTACAAGAACAGTTTTCAAGCTCTTAAGTATATAAATTTAAAGTTTAATGTTCAATCAAGACATGTATTCTTTTTCTCTCTTTCTCTTTGTTTTCTCGTTTTCGATTACTCTGCAGCAGAGTTCACCCGGTTTTGTCCTGATTCTTCAACTCTTCGTAAATTTTTAATAGCTACACCAATTTCTCAAAGCCATAATTTCTCTTACGCGTACGTATATATGCATTATGTCTTTATTATTTATTATTTATTAATGCTATTTCTTTGGTTTTCTAAAAGTATCTTACTGCGCAGTTATACTATTTAATACTATCCTGCCATTGAACATATTATGATTAAACAAGTTCAAGTGTTTTTCTTTGTGTCTATAATTTAAAATTTTGCTCTCTGACATTTTGGTTGAATGAGGATTTTTTTTTCTGGTTAAGTCTTCATCGACTTTCATTTTTTTCAATTTATCGAAATTTTCTGAATCGCATAAAAGCAAAACGTACATTGTTAGAGAACCTTATGGAAATCCTGTTCACCGATTGGCTCTAAACCCAACGTGATACAAATTTCATTAATAAAACGTGTTTAGTATTTTTATTATACTAATAGCTTATTTTTATTATTTATTTTTTTTTTTAGAATACTAAGACTTGGATTTTTAATTTATTTCTTTAATATTTTTTTATTTAAGTACCTTTACGGTAACTATTTTGATTTTTTGAAAACTGATCAGTAACAATAAATTCTATTATTTATTGATGCGAATAACGATTGATTCTATTATACATTTTTTTTTTTTTTTTGACAATGAAAACAAAGTATTGTGGTTTATATACACAAAAGATAGATTGTGAGGGCAAAAAAATATTATGTTTGAATGGCATATGTATCTCAAATTTTGTAATTTATTTATTTTTATCTAATGAGTATTCTTCATGTTTAAATTTGTTAAGTAGCATATGACATAATGTATTTAATTATGAAACAATATTTTATCCTGAAATTATAATTTGATATTAAATTTAATATGTAGGTACCTAACCTAACTACCTAAAATAATTATTTCTTCCATACATATTATATTTGGTCTAATATGAATGTTATTTTAATAATATCTGTATGAACGGTATTTTAATAAAACAAAAAACTTTTTAGTTTTTACAAACTGAACATATAAAAATCATAACTGATAATGAAATTATTATCTTGTTGAGACCAGAACTAATCGGAAAATATGATTTCCATAAGGGTTTTTAAAAATGTAAGTTTTGCTTATATGCTTCCAGATCTTTTAAAACTCTAAACTGATAGCCGATCATACCGTTAAAATCTAAAACAGAAAACGTTTGTACAATATTGGTCTGTTTTAATAATGACTGTGAATAATAAATAATTTAAAACTGAACCTCAAAGAAATGTTTGCAATTGTTTTCATTTATAATTCAGTCATGTACAGAGCTGCTTAACAATGTTGCATAACAAACATAGTTATTGAACAAACAAAAAGTAGGATATACAAGATAGTTCAGTTCATATAGTATGAATTGTACGCAAAGATGATACATTATGGAAAATGAAAAACGAGTGAGAGCGGAGTAATATAAGTAGTGTTTTCCCTTGTCACCAAGAGAATCCACCGGAAATAAACAATAAAAAAAAATGGACTAAAGGACTTAACTGATAAAAATGTCAATGTTTCAGATAAAGTATTACTGGGTATAATTACCGTAAATACCGTATTTATTTTAGAGATAAATATTGCATAAAAAATTTGATTATTTGTCTGAGTAAAACACGATTCCGCACGTTTATTGTTCGATATTACGTTTTTCTCGACCTTTTTTTCTACCCAACTCTGTATTGTATTCTAACGCGACGTTGCCATATCAAGAATACGAAAACTGTTAAATACCACGCGTGGATACAGTTCAATAATAAGTTTTATTAATTTCGAGCATTATTCTATACTTTATATTTTTACGGTGTTAAAATGTATAAGTTAATATCTAGGAATGAAGAATCAATTAGAGATCATGAAATCTGAGAAGGGCAACGTATACAAAGCGTTATACATTTTAATAGTTACAAAATACATCAAAATAGTATAAAATATCTAACTTCTATTGGATTTATATACAAGTACTAAGAGAAAAACTATATTAAATTGTACATTATTTTACATTATATTTATTTTTTGTAATGACGGCTCACTAATCACTAGTTTCTGGTTACTAGTCACTACTCACTAGTTCAATATGAGACAACTATTTTTATATTACATCATTTTTTCGTAATAAACGTAAAACCACACTGTTTATGATAAATTTGACAACGTTGCACCTAATTCCTATTTTATTTCAATGAATAATAAGGCGTGCGGAATTGTGTTTAAAAAAAAAACATGTGGAATCCTATTCCTCCCATTTGCCTACATAAAAAAAATATATATATTTCCTAGATAAAGTAAAGAATTTCAAAACAATGTTCAAATAAATCACTAATAGACAAAAAAAATCAGCTACTTTTAGGATATGATAACAAATATACAGAAAAAAATCGGATAACTAAAAAAGTGCTTACTGAAAAAAAATACACACACACATAAACATCTTAGTATATCAAATAGCTTCTTGGATGCACTCAGAATCTAAAACAATAAAACTAACTAATAAAATTGAATTTACAAAAATGAAAAAGTCGGACATACATTGCATGTGGTTACAGCCACTGTTGTTAGTGAGAAATTGGGAAGGTAGGATACAGAAGGGAATTTAATGTATATCTGTAAGCAACAATAAATCATTATTTATGAAAAAACGATTGTGAGCGGAGTAGTTTAATATTGTTATTTGTCAACAATATATGCCATATTATAGTAAAATATTTAATAATTAAATAAGCATTAAATATTTTCTTTAATCATATTTGTTTAATATTGATCTGATTTTCATATGTTTTTCTCGGTTTTTCACATTTGCTGGGAAAACTTTTGAGAAAATCGAATAATGAACTCCCTAAAGTGCAACCTCAAAGAAAATTCCTTTCGAAAAACGGTCTACATCATCTACATCAGAGTAAGCTTTCTAGTAGAATTTTTGTTCACAGTATAAAAAAGTAAAAAAAATTAAAAAATTAACATCTTTGTAAAACCTATACATTCTTCGCTACTCTCAGAATTTAAAATCAATGAGCTATCATTATTTATAATATCATCAGTAAATTATTATAATCATTTTTTGGTGCAACAAGATATATTTACGTAGGTTGTAATAATAATTAATATTGTAAATATTAAAATATCTAAAATCTAACATTATAAGTGATTTTTCTTATTGAACACTTAGGTATTCACTTAAGCATGAATAATTAATATCTTAAATATTAATTATAAGATGAAACATTCCTTACAAATATAATACGAATTAATTGCAAAACAAAATACGAATAATGAGAAGGGGGTTAAACATCATGAACCCCTCCTCCGTAAATACACCCATGATGAGGAAATTAAATATTGTCTCTATCTAATTAAAATATATTGTTTAATACAATGTTAAAATAATATGATAAAATTTATTTGACGGTACACGAGAATAAGTTGTGCATGGGTTGTTTGTTACGTGACGTAATAACAAATATTACCATCTATTATATTAATATTATAATTAGTAATGAGGACTATCGAATAGTACTCGATAGTTTGAATAAATTATAATATTGTACGTCCTTGAACGTATATACGTTTTACTCAAGCATTAAAAAAGAAGGCCATAATATTTTTAGCTAATACCTATATTTCTTATATTTTCCCGCTTTTTTTCCATTTTTTTTTTTTCGGTTTTTCACATTTTTTGAGAAAACTCTTGAAAAAATTTAAAAATTATCTCTTTAAAGTACCTCCACAGTAAAATTTCCTTTTAGAAAAATTGCCAACATTATAAGTTGAAACAAAATTTCTGATAAAAAATCTGTTCACAAAAAAAAAATTCGTAATATTTTTTGTAAATTTTCAGATTTTTTTTTGGTTTTTCACACTTGATGAGAAAACTCTTAAGAAAATCGAAAAATGACCTTCTTGAAGTACCTCTTTACACCGATTTACACTTTCGGAATAGGTACTATACTTAAAAATTGGATCAAGATCTCTGGTAGAAAAGTTGTCCACAGAAAAAATAATAACCATCTTTATAAAACCATAATCTTCTTCTCTACACTCGGAATCTAAAATATAACATTATAAGTGATTTTTTCTTACTGGACACTTAAGTATTCACTTAGCACAAAACAACAAAGTGTGTAGTATTTATTACTTTAAATTTGAATTTTACAATTATATATTTAATCGAAAAAGTTTTTTTTAACGAGAAATAAAAAATTACACGTAGTAAGATTTTTTATCAATTATCTTCCTACAATATTTTTTTGTGTTAATATTCATATAAATACACATTCAACTATAGTATATAATGATATAATGATATTATGATAAGTGCAAAAAATATTTACAAAAAAAAATCTTGTTTAACAAACGTAAAAAAATGACAAAAATAGAATGATATAAAATACATGATGTTTTCTTATCATGTATTACTGTAATTTTTAATTACAATAAAAATATATACGATTTATTTTAACACTATTTTTAACAGTCTTCTCGTAATTTCCATAGGTAATCCGCGATAACACAAACCGCTCTATTTAATAAATAATATAGGTTATTAATGGCATTGATGGCTCACTGATCGTTTTAAATCATAAATGATAGACAACAATGGTAATGGGAACATATTGATCCGGGCTTATTTAAATGCGTTTTAGAGACATTTTGATCCGGAGGAGACAATTTGATCCGTTTTGGGGTCTATTGATCCAGCTTGTAAAAAAAATTAAATTTCCTAAATGAATAATAAAATTTAAACTAAGTTAAATTGTATCCTGGTTCATTTTAATTCGATTTTCATGGGGATATTTTCATGACACGTTTTCATTAGCTTCATTCTTAATGAAGAAAATAATAAGGTCGAGGCAAGAAGATAGGTATTTTGATATATTCTAACCTGTTTATACCTAACAGACTTTTTCAATAATCGGTCGAATAGTAATATTTTTCCTTATTACCCGTTTGCTTGATAAAAATCAAATTTTATAATAAAACCAAGAACACCAACGAAATATTAGTCCAACCAATTACCAATTACTTTTATAGGGCTGAAAATGATAACATTTAATACATAGTCAATATAGATAACGTATTATTTCATTTTAATTGTTATCCTTTTTTAACCAGAAACTTTCATTTCTCTCTGCTTGTTCAATTTGAAGCAAAAAGTGAAAGTTATTCGGTATATAGAATATAGATACTACGGTATAGTGGCTTGTCTATTCGTAAACATGATGGAAAATTTAGTATCAGAAAAAAACAAGTAACCGAATCAATTTAACTATAAAAACACAAAAACCTTTCTGCTAAAGACGTATATATGCAACCAACACTTTGGTTGGCTCCGTGAGTTTCCGATATAGGCAGTTTTCACCATAATACTGTTCTTTAGAAGAGGAACTTAAAGGGTCATCAACATTATAATATCGTGTATTTCGTTCATTTATATTAAGTAGAAAATTATTATATTTTTTTTTTCAAAACCACTTATATAAATTAAAACTGTCTAACAATATAATATAACCATAAATACTCGTACTCTAATATTACTCGTATAATATGCGCGTTATAATTTATGCGGAATAATATTCAGTACAAAAATACGGCAGTTATATTATTTTATTATTAATAAAACATATTGTACAAACATTCTATTTTACCTTTACTTAACAAAAACAAAATTTCATTAGTGTATAGCGTAATATTAAAAAAAAGCCAAAAAAATAAAACCTATATGTATAACATCGTTATATTCATAGTGATATTAAATAAAAACATATAATATAATATTATTCCATATTAGACAAATAACTCGGTGGAATATATAATAATAAAAAAAATATATTGTTTTTAATATATAAACAAATAAAATCGAAAGACAGGAAAATAATTAAGAATCACAAAAATCACTACTATTTCTCCTCCATCGTATACTTGCACCTAAACATTCATTGTGAGTGATATTTACTTATATGCGATTTTTATAGTATTTAAAATACTAAACAAAACAAAAAAATAGTCAATAAAAAATTAACCCTTAGAATCGATTATTGAAGAATCAACAGGCTAAAATAATATACAAGAAGACGGGATATACCTAATATACCTGATAAAAGGTGTAATTAGGTATGTTTTTAAATATTTCAACAATTGCCTAACCTTTGTTTCGTTCGAAAAATGATTTTAAGCCGAGCGCATTCGTTCGATATTTTTTGGTCAGTTTTTCATAAACTCGGGGAAACTCACAATCCTATTTATAAAGTTACCGGAGAAACTTTCGAACGTTTTAACTGTCACAAAAAAAAAAAATAAGAATATTTTACAAGAATGAATAATGCGTACGTTACAATCGTTCTGTTTGGAATTTAATGTGTACATCCATTACGTATTCAAGTAAAATTTAAATAAGACTATTTAAATCTTGATTTTTAAACTTTGAGAGCAGCGAGAAATGTATTGGATTTATTATGATGTATCATCAAAAATATTGCTCCAAATTTAAGCGTTTTTTCTGAAAGAAAATGTTTTCTAGTTAGCGCAAGATTAACTCTATCAGGAAGTTTTTTTTTTTTCATTCCGATATTTAGTACGTAATTAGTATATATTTGTATAATTAATCTCGGAATTTTTAGAAGGATTTTAATTTGTATCTGTAAATAACAATAAATCAGTGTTAACGAAAAACGATTCTGAGTGAAGCTTTCTCAATTATTTAAAACAAATTACACCGAAACACATACTAATTTATGAATTGAATAATAGTGAAACAACAGTGCCACTTAAATTATCTCCTCTACACCATCACCTCACCCACTATTACAACTTTATCGCACTCTGTCGCGCCGCTTGAATATAATTAATGGCGTAATTCAGTGAAAATTTCAAACCTCAACGATCATTAATAACTAAACTAAGATAAGGTAAGATGTTAGAAAGGTAATAATAAATACATTGTTTTAATTTATATCAGTAAGTAACGATAAACTCTTTTTAGTCAATAAAAACAAACAATTTTGAAAATTTGCCAGATTATTTTGAAAATTTTACTACGTTTAGAAAAAGCTTATTTCGGTATTCTATAAAAATTTCAGGTTTTCACGATTTTTATTAGAATTACAAAATAAATGATACAGTAATTTCTGTAAACTACCCTTTTTTTCTACTTCTTTTTTCGATTTTGCCAAATTATTAACAAAACTACAAGTAAACCAAAACATACCTTTCATTACCAACTAAACAAATTTTTTTTTTTAAAAAAAAAATGCTACACTAAAATTTTGGAAAAACTAAGTAAAAAAAAAAAAAATTAAAACTAATGAAATCGTTAACGCTATGTGTATTTTTCTTTTCTTTAAAGAAAATCCGAGGGAATACTGGGTGTCATAAAAATGGATACTAAACTCAAACAATCCAGAAGACGACCCAGATAACAATATTTTTATAGAGTAAAAGAAAACCTTAGAACGATGTAAATGGAGCAATTGGAGGAATTGTATTGTTATAATGATTAACCTTTAAAATCTTTAATACGAGTATGTCCAGAAGAAAAATAATTATATAGATAACTAATAACAACGTAGATATCCCGCAGATAAATACACAATAAATTTTCTTTTTATAAGGAGGTCTACAATTAATTATTTAATTTAGATCGTAATTGCATTCGGACTACGGATCGGATATGTATAATCACGGGGCCGTATTTGACGGAGGATTTTAAGGGCACTTGCCCCGGGCAGTAGACTTTTGGGAGGAATCCAAATACCGGAATACTATATGAAAAATATAAAACTCTTTGACCCTTGGCTTACAAAATGTATAGAAAAAAAATATAAACTTCAAAAAATAAATGCCGGTTTGTATTTATATTATAATTTGAGCTACAAATTAATACGTCAAGATTTCACGAGACAACATATGACAATGAGTAGCGAATATAAAATAATTTATTTTATACGTATACACGTTTCAGTGGTTATATGATTTATTTTTAGACAGGTGGTAGTCTTCTACGTACAACCGTACCATATCATAATAGTACAGACCGTTTTGTTATTTAGTTTTCAAGTCATTATTTTCATTATAATTCAATATAATTCAGTACAATTTATAAACATTAAGGGTATTGGAAGCAACGAAAAATAATATTAAAAAAATATTTATTAATAAAAAATTATGATTTTAGATTCCGAGTGTAGCGAGGGAGCTATTGGTTTTACTAAGATGTTTTTTTTTTTATTTCTTTCTTTGTACTAGCAAATTTGCTAACATATTTGCTCAATTTGTCTAGATGGTACTTTAAAGAAGTCAATTTTTGATTTTCGATGACAATTTTAAATAATTTCACGATTTCATTGTTTTACAAAAACACGGACAACGTATTCTACCAGAAAAAAAATGGTTTAATCGAAAAATCACAAGACACCTTTTTGATTTACTTTATTACAGTATTATCGCCAAAACTTTTGAGCAACTATTGAGCTTTAAAGAAATTTTAATTTTTGGGAGATTTTTGCTGAAATTCCGTTATAAATACACGTAGAGACTTGATAATAATATTTATATTGGATTTACCTATATGTGGTCAAATTTCCAAAATCATCGGACGATTTTTTTTTTTTTTAATAAGCGTTTTGAAATCAAATTTAAACGAAAATCCCCCAAAAAAAATTTCGGCACTTCAAATTATGTATTACCGAACTGCGCTCGAAATCGTCTTTCGTCAAGCAATGATTTATCGTTGCTTACAGTTATAAATGAAATAATCTTATGAATCCTACCTTCCCAACTTTTTTTTTTCTGAAGGCAAATCTTCTATTAGAAATTTTATTCAGATTTACAATGATAGTACTTTTTCTAAAAGAAAATCTGATTGTCAAGGTACTTTAAAGAGATCACTTTTCGGTTGTCTCAAGAGTTTTTCCAGCAAATATGAATAACCGGGAAAACATAAGAAAAGCGTAAAACTCTGTACAATATTAAACAAATATTATTTATTATTAAAGAAAATATATAATGCCTATTTAATTATTTTTCCATAATATGACATATACATTATTGACGAAGCATCACTATCGATTGAAATCCGCTCAGAATCGTTTTTAGTAAGCAATGGTTTAACGTTTCTTCGTTTTCTCTCTATATCCTACCTTCCCAACTTCTCATCAAATACAGTGACTGCACCCATCGTGCGAAGTATGGCCGCCTTTTTTGTTTTGAAATTATTAATGGTACAGTGTAAAGATTTAATTTCATAATTGTAATAAATAAAATGTTATGAGATTAATATACTTATTTTTAATTTTAAAATTATGAAGGTTTAATAAATTATTATAATATTGCTATGTTTAAATGAATTTTGAAATTTGTGATACATGAACAGCATTATTTCAAACTTGAAATAAACACATTTTAGGTAGATCGTTATGACATGCAAGTTTGCAAATTTTTATTTTTTCCTTAAATACTTAGATATTGGGTATTTTTTATTTTTTTATTGTTAAGGACCTCGAAAGAAGATTTGCCCCAGGCATCCGAAAGTCTAAATCCGGCCCCGTGTATAGATTGGTATCTATATACTACTGCAGACTATAGTCGTTTAAAATTCTCGAGAAAGACCGAATATATATATTAATCATGCCTTAATATAGATAAATTCAACTACTAACCGATTAACTGTACAGTATAATAAATATTCAATAACTTAAATGCAAAAAAATAGAAAATCTAGAAAAATAGTGAGTTAGCTGAAAGACAGAGTGATTTTTTTTTATCATGTACTAGCAATTGTCTCAGAGGAGTTTAAGCGAATTTGTTTTCTGTTTTTTCTAATCATTATGGAATTGTTTATGCTTTATTTTAATATACCTTAGATAGGCAATTTATTACCCTTCCTTACTTCTCTGGTCTACACTTTAAACTGTTATAACTCATAAACAGTAAATCTGATATTAGTGTTATGCATATCAGAATTTCTAAAAAAATATTGTCTATTTAAATTAGTATTCAAAAGGGGGAAATTCTTATTCCAAAATCAAAAGAATGCACTTCACTGTAAATTCACTTAAAATTCTCTGAGATGATTGCTAGTTCATGATAAAAAAAATCATCCTGTGTATCGGAGTTCAAATATTGTGAAAGGCATTGCATTGAAGCGACTCAAAATCGAGCGGGTCACGAAACTTGTAATTATAGATTGTTTTTAAAAGCTGTGTAATTAAGTACATAACCCGTAAGAAAAGACACCAATGCGCCATCTGAGATTAAGGTGGGAATATATGTGGAAAAGGTAAAACATAGAATGAATTTGTGAGACTTAACATTGAAGATGAAAGCTGGAGGCAATTTTTATGCTGGACTAAAAGGCCAGAGCTAGACTAGAAGAAGAAGTATAAACAAACAATCATAATTTATTAACTGTAACTTATAAGTATAAAGTATAATAATAATAATGTATGGTATCCCACAAGTAAGTATTCCGTACTCAATATATTTTCTTTTTTAGTATTCGTTTAGTCAGCTATTAATAATTTTTATTTTTATTTATTAACTGACATCTGCATAACAACCGTACAATATATATATAATAAAAGAAAAATAATAATAATAACAATTTAACATTATTCGTTAAAAATAAACGATTTTCAAGCGAAATAAACTTTTTACATACACTATATTTTTATTATTATAACATGGATCTCGCCGTTGTTTATTGATTTATACTAGTTGGCGTTTGTTTCCAAACTATTGAGATTCAAATTTGTGATGGATTATTGTACCAAAAACATCACAAAATTTCATTATTATCAATTCAAAAGGAATTCGATTTCGAGTTTTATAAACCTTCAGCTGTAAAATCGGTCACAACAGATGACAATATTGTTATTAAAAACAGGGTTGGTCACTCTACGACTGGACGTTCGTGTAAAAAATTAGTTTATCACGAATATATAAAATTGTATTTTTAACTACACGAATTGTTTAAAATTAAAACGGCAAGGTCATCATTGCTTCTAATATAACTGATCTGTATATATAAACAACTTTTTTAAACTTTTAATGTTTACAACAATCGTGCTGTTGTGGAATTCGAAAACTAACTAAAAAAAAATAATAATAACAATAAATATACCAACCTAATGATTTTTTCTATAGACTTTCTTTTTTTTATTCGATGTGATTGAGTTGCAAAGTTACTGCACATTGAGCCGGTAAAATAAAATATAGGTCAATCCATCGCTATTATCTTTTTATGATTTTTTTTTTTTTACAAATGAATAAACACACGTTTTAAATTTAATTTTGACTATAATACTGATTTTTGATGCGAAAAATGTTTAAAAATTTAAATATGAATGTAACACAATGCTCGTAAATCATAATATACTATATGATTTCAAAAATTGATAACGTAGTAAGTTACGTTTTCGCCATTCACCCTTAATGACAATAATAGTTATTATTATGCATTTGAGTTGTATGCTTACTAATATATACGTTCATATACGGTTATGTTCATACCTAAAGAGCAAACCGAGCAGGGCCACAAAAAAACACGGGAAATTGGTATCCGGAGTAGCTCGAACGGATGACACAGAATCGTGTAGTTTTTAATCAAGACGCAATTCATGGTGACAAAGCGATTTATTTGTGTTTATATGTCAATTCCCTTATCGGTATCTCTAAATTTAAATTAATTTTACTGTGGGTAGGTACTTTCTCTTTATACCTACCCTGCACCATGATCGAAAACCAAAATAATTTTCGTTAAAAATAAGTAGATAGTGTAACTTTATTCATTATTATTTTATACACGTGTCTCGAGTCTTTTGGGACTCAAAGTCCCTGCACAGCAGGCGTTGAATTTTACTTTTGTCGAAATATCAATTCCTTGGAAATATTATAAAATACCTACACATTATTTTACATTGAAAATTTCTACAAATCCCATCACCGAATTTCATGATTGTAGATATTACTATAGAATTAGGTGCATACATTTATTATCAATTTGTTTGTCATTAGAATTGCATATCATACGATAAACAAATAAATAATATATATATATTACACCACAGTCGATGTTGGTATACATCAGTTTGATTTTAAAATTTAAAATCCAGTACACAATATATTTTATATATTTATTTTCATATTAATTAATTATTTTTAAAATTGGATTGAGTATCGATAAATATTGAAAATAAAATTAAAACATGTGAAAAATCCACTAATTTACGATGTTCAATTCGTATAATCCTAAGCCAGTAGCCGATGTAAACATATTATTCATTAAATTTATGTCTGTTTTGTCTATTTTGTACAGTTTTAAGACGGCACGCGGCTGTACATTCCTTATTTGGCGTTTATTTTATTTTTTATAAAACTCACAAAAAGTAGATTGATATTAGTTCAATAGTACAAGGGTAATTATTTCAGACAGAGTTGAATTGTTTCACAAAGATATTGAGAAAAAACTCGAAATTAAAGAATTCGTTATTATTTATTTTCTCATCTGAACAATTAATTGATTACATCCTTATTGTGGTCCACATCTGTGACTTACCGATTAACAATTCCAATAATAATGACCTACCTAACACAGAATATCAAAAATATTTATGATATAATTATTTAATACAAAAACACAGAATACAGTTTTTAATTTAAAACTTGTTTCATTCATAGAAAATACTTAAAATGTAATATTTTGAGTCATTTGTTGTTAGAAAACCAGAAATATTGTCTAGTAAAATACCATACAAAATACAATTTTTTTAAATCTTTTAGCATTTTTTTAAAATGTAACAAGAAATAGGATCATTATTACCAACCGATAAAAAGTATACGTTAGGTATGTATTCAGAATTTAAAACAAAATATAATCCGTTGTTGCGATCGTTTAACGTTTAGTTTTGAAAAAATACACGTGGTAAATGTAAAACAAAATGGATTTAATTATTGGAATGTTTAGAACAAACAACATGCTGCTATATAGGTAGGTACTTCAATATAAAACAGATACAATTAAATGATATACCTATAAATAATATTTTTAAAAGACTCAATTATTTTTGTATTCGTATAATAACCTCGTAATTTAACTTATACGAAACAACAATAAACTCTATTATAATTTATACGAACACCAAACCTTGCAAAGTTTAGGCCACCGTAGATTTATTAGTAGTGTGGCGGTTCTATATTGAACAATGAATGCCATAGTCGACACTATTATACAGTTTTCCCGACGGGACGATTAAAAACGAATTCTGTATTATAATATTCTTATTCAAACATCGGGAAACCAACTAATACAAAATGTAGTCACACAAACCATATATCTATTTATTTATTTGTTTATATTAACACCATTTGTTTATATATACAAATAAAAACCTGTACATATGTAAAAATTGTTTTCAGTTTTATAATAAGCACAAGAATGGTATAAAAGGTCACAAATACAATCGATCTTAAGCCAATTTGCCACATTTGCCCCATAAACGACCATAGAAAGAAAAAAGAAAGAGCAAAAACAAGAGATAGAGTATCAAATAAATAATGTCACAAGATTGCAATAAATCAATGAACAAAGTACAATAACTATAAAAACAAGAAAACTATAATAATGGTTATGCCATACTCTTTGTAGACATAATTGACCTATGCAGCTATAATCTTGTAGCTCTTAAAGGAATCATACTTAGACAAAAAAAAAGTGGTCGATCTTGTGAACCCACAAGGACCTTTAAGTCTAAATATGTAGACAAAAAAAAAGCAGAAAGGCCAATTCCAGTGGGAAGATTGAATTGAAGAAGAAAGAAACCATTTTAATTTCAAACTTAGGTACCTACCTATACGGATATTTCTAAATGATAATATCAACAGTCATTATTTTGTATACATAAAGGTAAAATAATTTGTTTTTACCATGTTTTTCTTAAAAAAAAAAAAAAATACTAAATATACTAAAAATTAAAAAATAATCCTTCGAAAATAAAAACAATGACAGTTATTATGATTATCAAAATTTAATTTCAACTTTTTAGTTATAATCTAATCAAGTTATTTCGAAATATTTCTTACCTCAGCACTTTTACTTACAGATATTTTTTCATTGTCCTCACTGCTAGTCTAACGATAGAATGCATACCTATTTCTTATCTCATTTCTTTCATTATATCTACTAGCTCTTTGTTTGCTCATAGCGTAGTTTCCGGTCAGGCGGCATTTATAACACGTAATGCACGCATGTATAATACGTATGCATAACAACACTTATAATCACGAGTTGAAACCCCCCTCAGACCTTTTCAACCGAGTAAATGAGCATCATCATTAATTTTGTAATCTAAATCTATTCATAAATACATATGCCATACAAGTTATAACTATTACACACACACACACACACATACACGCAAACTTAAATTGTGATTAATTGAAAAACGAAATCTATACGAGTTTAAAATGCAACTATGTAAAGACAACAGACTACAGTTTTAAAGATTTGTATATTTTATTAAAATACTGAACGTGTCGCAAGTTCAGTATGTTCAGTTTATACACTGAATGACATGTATTGTATTTATTAATATTATACTTTATGTATAAAATCAATATTAATATTATTCACCTACGCACATCGACTACTATTAGGTAGTCTGATCTGATTATTTAATAATAATCAGCTCATAAGCATAATAATAAACTATTCTAGTATCACATTGAAATATGTATGTGTGTTTTTTAGGGCTTACTATAATTTACGGTTGTTACATAAATATATATTTATGAATGTATAATCATTTATGTATACATTTCGTACAGTCGAATAAATATAATTATGAACAATTCTATAAGGTATAATGTATGATATAATATATTAAAGAGAGTAAAACTTTGGTGAATGACGAAAACTTTTAGTCGCAAAATCATTATGAGTATATCGACAACTGAAACCCTTAAAATATTTTAGTTAAGTCAATGCATTAAGCTTGTCTCAACAATTACCTACTCGAGACTCGTATTATAATGTAATCAAATAACAATACATGCATAACCTCACCGTTACATAAAAACGGCATGTATCTATTAACCGTTTAAAACACGATTAGGTGCACAATAAATACAAATTTATTTGTATATATCTAATATATTTTAAGATAGGTGTACTTCGCATAATATATGAAGTTAAAATACGAAGATAACTAATACCTACCTAAATTCAATTCTAATATAAATCATAAGGTATTTAATTGAAAAAAAAAACAATTATATTATTTACTATTTATCTGATATATTATAGAATTAATTAGAAATTTTAAATTATTTATAATATATAGATATATATTAGGTATAACACAATTTCATTATGACAAATAATAATATCATTAAAATTCAAAACCATAGTCAGTAACTAGTTATAAAGTTAAAAGTCAAGTTATAGGCATGGGCACCTGGAGGGGGGCAAAACGAAGCATCTCCCTATACTTCAAAATGTTAAATATAATTTTATTTTAAGTATTTTTTTGTGTTTGGTTTTTTTATGTCCCCCACTGATAAATTTCCTGCGGGCGTCCATGGCGTACATATTACTTATATGTAGGGCTCGGAAGTTATAGGAGTTTTTTTCTCCTCATTTCTCGAAATCATTTTTTTCTGTATACACTGAATTTATAGCGGACCAAGCTAGCAATACTTTCTGTACGATGAAGTGTTAAAATACATATTTTGCATATTTAGTTAATTTTAGAGAAAAAGTGCATATTTTGTCGGTTTTCATTAAATTTCGTATATTTTAATGCATATTTAATATTTTCTAAAAAAATTGATATTTTATTCTTAACCTAATCAATTTATTTTAAACATTATTAAATTTAAAACTCAATATTATTTAACGTAGTTATTTATTGCTATTTCTTACCGGATCAGTCTATTATTAATTTAGCAACAACGAGTAGTTAAAAAAAATTCGAATTTCAGAAAATAACTTATTTATTTCTTTAGATAAATAATTTTAACTTAGCTTTGACATTTTGTTGAACCTTTGTTTTTTTGCGAATTTATAAAAAAATTTAAAAAATTTAAAATTATAAAAAAATAAATATAAAAACGTATAGGTAATAGCTTTATGTCTCGCGTTTATTTTTAGACCTAAATTACGTTTTTTTAAGTGAATATCGTTATCACGTAACAAGGCAAGCGTGTGGCCTATGCAGCGATACTCGTATGAGTCTTGTGAGTTTATAAAGTTCTAGATGTCAGAGTACAAAATACATTTTTGAGTGTATAGTTGAGGGTAAAATTTAAAAAAAGTAACTTAACATAGTTATTATTTTCTTAAAAATGCGTAACAAAACTTAGGTAATTAGTCAAATTAATTTAATTTTTAATATTAACTTTAATTTAGTTTAGTTATTTATATTTTAAAATGACTAAATTTAAACTAATTAAAAAATTTTACTAACTTTTCCAGCTTTACTAATATTAAAATAGCATCCGTAAAGCGTACCTACATCTAATAGATGTCGAAAGTATATATTTCAAATTTAATTTGTATACAAATAATAATAATATAACAAAAACATTCTACACGAATAACTACATGAAAAATGCATAATCAATCTGTTAGATAACCTTGAAACAGTCGGCAAACAAACGATAAAATGTCACAAAAAAAAATAAAAACATTTAGACTCAATTGTTAATGTTTAAAACTTTTTTTCGTTTTTGTTTGATAACTGCTATACTTATGTAACTTTTTAATCTCGAACTTTATCTAAACATATTACAGCTGTATAAAACATATTTCAATATTAAAATTGTTACCTAATACCCATATAATGATAGTTTTATTTAATCGAAAATAAAAATTAAATTAAATTTTTATACATATAGATTCATTTATTTTAATGATTAGAATAAAATAAGGTTTGACTCGTATAGAAAATATTTTCAAACGAAGTGTATTAAAACAGTAAAATTTAAATAAATAACTAAAATCACTCGTGCTCGACAAATATTTTTAGACGAATTTTAAAAAAACAAATAAATATGTACTATTCGACCGGGAATAAAAAAAAAAAATTACAAATCGTTTTATTAGTTTTCTTTCAGTATTTTAAATACTATCGCTTTTTTCGAAATTTTTACGAAAAAATGTATAACACACATTATTAATTCAGAAAAATCGATTAAAAATTACTCGTAAATTATGCAATTTTATGAATATTACATATGTTTTATTATATAATACGCGTGCAAACCGCATAATGTTTACAGAGAATTAAAAAATTCAAAACATACATTTGCAAAAATCAAAATACAGATACTTACTAGACGGGCCCATCGGAATAAACGGCGAAAACGTGCGAGCGACGCCGGCGAACTGTCGTCCGATAACCGCGCGAAAAGTCGTAGACTACCCCAACGGTAATACCGCGACACGATCGGCGGACGACACCGCCGGTGGCGCGGCAGTGGGTTACTACGTTACAGGTTAGGTATTCGCATTTATAATAATACAATACCGTTACTATAATGCTGACACGTGGCTTGCCAGGAATACGAAAAAAAGACCTTAACCCCTAAATCCGCCTGAAACTTGCAAAATTATCGTATGCTATATAGTATACCGTATTATATTATTAGAGTCATAGCCAACCACCGTCGCCGTTTCTTTTGAAAATTCCGCACGGTCAGAACAACATAAACAAGTTCACACTGAAATTTAAATTTAACTACCTACATATGTTAATCGAATTTTATACACCGCTCTATTTACTCGCAATTAGACCGCGATCTAAACGTTTAAACGTTTGAAAAACCAAATTATCAGACGACACAATTTTCGTATATTATACCTATTATAGATCCCTAGACCTAGACCTTAAAGCACAATTTAGTTTATTTGCTTTAAACAATGATAAATTGTTGTAATCGTTTCTGAATGGACATCGATAAACTGGTAAGGTTATAGAGCTAGTCAAATTTTCCCATCTCGTAGTATAAGCCAGGTAACCCTGCAAGAATTAACAAAAGTAAAACCGGCGTGCCATCATTCTCTGTCTGCTTTTATAGTTCAGTAAAAGAGTTTGAAATCTAGAACAAATTTATCAAACAAAACACTACCGGACGAAAAATCGGCATCTTTTAAGGAACAATTTAAAGCATCATCAGTAAACACTCGTTACACTCGGAATCTAAAATAGTCAATTGCCTAAAAATATTGTTGCCGCGGTTAGGTTAGGTTAGGTAAGCGACTTAAACGTCGACAGCTACAATTGATTTGTTGTAATCGTTTTAATGCTATATATTATGTCGTATCAAAATAAAATTACTTCATTATATAGGTATATAAGTGGTTATACCCAATCGGATTGCCGTGCGGGTGTTCGAATTAATTGGGGGAAAAAAAATTAACAGCAAAAAAAGTAACTCACGGAACAATCAGCGACCAACGAAACGCGCACGCGGTAAGTGTGTAAAATCCAATCTCGTGAGTAGGTATACGTGAGTCGTACTCAGAATAATATGCGTGGTGTGCCATCTCTCTCTATGTTTGTGCGCCACGCGGTCGTCGTGATGCGTGGTGATGTATATACGCGAAAGTGAAAGATTCTAAAATAATGCTCTTATATTATTTTATAGCTTTTAGCTTTTCGCGTAGTCGTTTCCGGTGTTATGGGCAATACAACTATAACACAACATCTCGCGAAATTAATTATTAAAATATAGAGCCCCGCGTTGTTTGCCTTCGAGCGTTTACACACCATTGAATAATAATCAACTAAATTATGTACTATGTATATATTATATTGTATACATACACACACACACACATATATATATACACACACTATAGGTACCTAACGCGTGTTCTTTATTATTTTAACATTATTTGCGGGACGTCTGCCCCATTTCGTCGCCTGCGATTTCCCCGCTTACCTACCGCATTTTCCGCGATAAATTATACACGCCCGTATCCACTATACAAAAATATATTATACATATTGTTTAGTATATTACTCTATAGATGTACGTATATATATATATATATATATATTTATTTATAGATAAATAGGTATAAACCTACCGCAATGAAGAAGACAAAGTAACAATTATTATACCACAATGGATTGAGTATTGTTTGCGCTGTATTATATTAATAATCGGTAATTTTGATACAATTTTTTTTTTTTTTATATATATACATATGTTATATGAGTTTTATTTCTAACAGAATTTCGCAACAAGTGAAGTAGGTTTACATTACGAGTAGGTCCATTTTCCCTATGTTTTTCCCAGTTTTTCAAATTATTAAAAATGGAAAATCAAACAAATGACTTTTTCAATTCACCAACTGGACAAAATTTTCTTTTAGAAAAAATGCTTCATCTGATGATCAGAGCAAGATTTTTGGTAGAAAAGACAAAAAAACAATACATCACTTGCTACGCTCAGAATCTAAAACTAAAAGGCACGTGATTGTAGATATTTTGGCATTTCGTGTACCCACATTAAAGTTTAAATCGCATATTTTATTTACCAACAAAGACGAAAAAGTGATGCATCATTTATTTGCAAAGTTTAAATTAAGGATATTCTAAAAAATTTTAACTACAAAATAACAAATTTTTTTTACGGATTTCATCAAATGTTAAACTTTTCAGAAGAAATCGGTCGTGGTTATAGATGTTCGATATTCATTTATATATCCACCGATGTCTCAAATTTTCAAAAATTGAACAAAAACATATCACCAAATAGTATATAGGTATAAAGTAGATATGTGACTTTTCTGTGATATTTTTTCATTCAAACTCCAAACGCTTGAAATTATAATATTATATTAAATTAAATTGAAAAATTAGTACTTTTTATCTCGGTAAAAAAATATCGTTAAAATTTGAGATATACCTATTATATTTGTTAGTATACCTGAAATATAATTTATTATAATAACTTAATTAGATCGAAAGAAAATGGCTGAATCGTAATAAAAAGGAAAATTATCCAGTACATAAAATTATAAACATAATATTATTATATTTTACAACAAAATTAATTATTCTGAAACCTACACTAAAAAAAAAAAACGACGAACGACGAATGACACAATTTTTTTTTTTTTTTTATTCAAATCTTCAACTACCACTTGAATGGACGTGAATACAACAATCAGGATTATGCCCGCGCAAAAAAGAACTCCCTAGATTCAAGTTTTACCACCATACACTTGAGGAAAAAAAAATCTACTCGTTTTTCAGTTTTCATAAGCATTTAAAACGTGTGTTATGGTTTTTGTAAAATCTACAATATTTTGATATTTTCTAACAGTATTCGTAGTGTTCTTAATATTATGTTTTATTGCACTATTCGAAATTATATGATAATGTGCGTAGTGAAATTAAATCTTTAATATTAACTCGGCTTTATTTTATAGTTGAACATTTTTCTTTCCTCATAATTAAGTATTTAATTAATAAAACAACATTCGTAAATATGCATATAAACTAGAATTGTAAAATATTTTAAAACTTATGAATTTTATATTAAATACTTACAAAAACAATTTTTTAAAGGTAAAATCTGAGCTACCCCAAATAAAATTGAATACAATTTTAAACAATACATATTTGTTACAAAACCCAATGAAAATATATATTTGTATATTTACATAATTTTATTATTATATAAAAAAAAAATGTTGAACTTTTTATCGGCCTCGTAAATAATAATAATTTTTTGAATTAACGACATTTTAATTGCCCACCTAAAATAATGCCCGTACTTATTATAAATTATAATATATTATCAAGTACCTACTAAAGTTATATTATAGTTGATAAAATAATTATTGTTTTTATATAATAACTAAACAACCAAAGAGTATTTACTGTACAATAAATTACGTTTTTGTATTCTACTATATATTCAAAACATATAAATGCAATTTCATTTGAAAAGAAATGTATATTGTATAATATAGCAAATACATGCTTATAGTGTGTTTCATCATTCGATAGTAATAGTAACATGAACCATTTCTTAGATCAAAAGATAGAAGATTTAACTATAAAATTTCAATTTTTTTTTTTTAGCGGAAATATTTATTTTTTAGCACTAGCTTACTAGTTCGAATATTCTTATTTCTTTTTCTATCAAAAAAAATTACCAAAGATCGAGCCACCTAAAGTTGATTATAAAATATGATTTGTGTTTAAATCGGATTTTTCAAAAAGTCTAAACGTGTGTATTATTATGTTATTTTATGATTATTATTGCTAAAATTATTTGCTTTTATAAAAAACCGCCTATCGAATTTTTCACTTTTAATAGGCGTCACCATTTTTCACTAAAATTAATTTTTCCCTTTTCCGTTTATACGCGTCTCCAAACCAAACGTGTTCTTTACCATATATTTTCTTTAACAAAACCTATTTCCATCAAAATTAATCTCTCCCTTTTCCACCAAAACCAATTCCCCCCCAAAAGAGATATTGACTTATTCCCACCAAGAGTCCGTCGACGAACGAAACTATTTTTGAAATTCGATATAATTCATATCTCTATCAAAGTGATTAAAAAAAAAAAAAATGAATATCAAATATCTATTTAAAATTGTTACATTTCAAGAATTAATAGAGAATAACAAATAAAATCAATAGAACCTAATAAATAAATTGTTATCATTGAATTACAATTCAGTGAATGAAACCGGTGTTCTATACTTATATCGTACCCTACGACCGAAAGGATTGTACCATTTCTATATAGCGGTATGAACATTGATTTTAGTGGAAATCGGTCAGTATCTCTTTTGGTAAAAATAAGAAATCTTCGAGGTTCGTGTTGATAGAAAACGGTCCCACCGCCATTAATATGGCTCTCTTTCAAAAGGTCACGGGGTACACGAAAGGGGCGGTAGTTAACGAAATTCCACATTATATACCTTATGCATAAGACTAATTTATGTTCTTTCTGCTCAAACGGTATTATATTAATAATGTTTTAATAAATATTATATTATTAAAGTGGGTAAATTTTATCGTTAAAATTATAATCATTAATATTGCATATTGACATTCAAATTTAATTTCGTCATTAATATATATTATTATTATTATATGGTTTCGACGAAGACGGTAAACTGTCATAATTTTATAACGGTATTGACCTATATAATACAGGCATTAATAATTTATACTATACCCATAAGATTCCTTTCCGTAAAAGTTCAATTTATGTATGATATGTAGCATTTCGCAGGGATATTAATTTTTATATTATTAATAATAAAAATTAGATAAAACGTATATACTCGTATATATTTTATTATGATGGAAATTTACGTCAGATTTGAATTATTTTTCGAATGGGGTATTATTCTATTATACTATTGTAATTGCTTATAGATTATATAATAAAATATCATAATTTATTAGACTATAGTGCCACAAGAAAATTATTATAACAACCAATTATATACATCCGAATCAGTTGTACATAAAAATTTCGAACGGATCAAAAAAAAAACTAGTTTTATGACTAAATGTTTAGTCTACGGTAGTTTACTTTTTTTTTTTTTTATCAAAAACCCATTTGTGTTACATTAAAACTATAGAATAGTCTTATGCTTTAAAGATACCTACAGCAAGAAGTCATCGGTTGAACACAAATTCTTACGTTTGATAAATTAAAAAATTACTACATTACGCTCGACTTTTTTGTTTACCGCTAAATTAAACTTATAATGAACCTTTTATTTAATTTCCAAGCATTTCTGTTCGACTAAACCATTTCATCTCTATTAAAAAAAAAAAAAAAAAACTCGAAAATGTAAAATACCTATAATTACTCAAAAATCGTCAGAATTTTTTGAAAATGTTACCAAATAAAAATGGCTAATACAAGTATTCTATAAAAATGTCATCTCTTTACAATTATTTATAACCCAATTATAAATTTTAAAAATAAAATCGAAAATAATAAATTTATTAATACCGTAAACTTTCATTTTTTCTTATTATTAAGAAAACTAAAGAATATAATTTGTAATAGAAAACAAAAATCAAAAAAATTAATGAAATAAAATTGTTAACGTCGGGACACGTCGTCGTAAATATTTATCCAGTTTTTCCCAATTATTATTATTAAAACAGCTTGAAAAATCAAAAAGTCACACATTATAGTAAAACAAATATAATCCGCTCAGAATCTAAAAACTGGACATAATTCGTACTATAGACACAAAATGAGAAACATCATAATTTTAGCTTACCTAAATTACATTTTGAAATTAAATCGTATCAGATCTATAATATTGAATTATATACGACTATAAGTTTACTATTGACAATTTAAAACAATTTTACTCATTACGAACCTGATTAGGTGAACCCTAATCTAATTTTTAAATGTTCAGTTTTCACACTTATTTATCTTTATACAATAAAATCTGTATATAACCGTCAGTTATACATTTATGGGACCATAAAAAATATCGATTTTAGACAGGTTGAAATGCATTGGAATGCCTATCTCTTTTCAGGGGCCTTATTATTTTGTCCGTTAAGACAGGTTTCACTGTACTGTACACAAATGATTATATTTTAAGCTCCAAACATTCTTTTAAAAAGATTTAAGATTGGATACTGTAATTTTTTGTATTATGAGATAACATACATTTTAAATAAATATCTATCAAGCATTAAATAATTGTTGAAAACTGATAGAAATTTTGATTAAGTGTTTCAGATAAAATACCGCCAGTTAAACGTTTTGCGTCTTAAAGTACTAGGTGAAAATAACCCACCATTTTTACTAAACACTTAAAAAAAAAATTGTAGGAAAAATTATTGGGCATTTCGAAATATTTTTCAAATAAAGTATGCACTACCAGACGAAAAATCTATATATTTTTGAATGAGACACGAAAGAACAGAGCAGTTTTCTTCAACAGTTAAAGTGTTTTCAGAGAAACAAAAAACGCATCTTGTAAAACTGTAAAATTGTTCGTAATACTCGGAATCTAAAAAACGAGAAAACGCCAGTCGACATATTAAATTTAAACTTTTGATGTCTGTAATTAAAGTAAAGATTTCAAATAAAATATTATATGCAATAATTCATTTTTTTTTTAAATAATAACATGCCTATAACACTGTGATAAGTTGAACAAAACAAAGAGAACGAACACCCGGAATCACAGTGGTCCACCACATATTTTTTAATTCAAAAAAATTAACATTTATATATAAACAAAGTATGAGCACTTATAAAAGCAATTTTTTTATTAAAAAAAAGATTAAAATAATCCAAACGTGATAGAAGAAGTAGTCGGAAACCAAATTATATTGAAACAAATTATTAATTATTAATTATTGTTGAATAAAAAGTTCAGCAACTTCCATTATAGATAAACGCGTGATAAACAAAAACCGATAAACTTTGCATTTTAACTTTATTTTTTTAATATTTAATCAAGCCATTTTGTAGTTTGGTTTTACTATTAAATCTTAAGTATGAGAAAAAAATTATACATACTTTAAACCTGCAGTGGTTTCTAAACTGTATATTATTATACTCATTTCTCTAAAATACTATTAAAAATATTGATAATCAACATAATTAGACAGGTAATATAAATATATATATATATATATATATATATTTTTATAATATTATATAATTAATACTAGTCATATTTTTCAAATAAGAATCATATCTTTTGATCTAAGTACACCAATTTTATTGTATTAATAATTGCATTTATCCGGTTTTTTTAAATTATATTATTTATTAAATTAATTATAATATGTTAAATCAATAACTAAATAAAGTACCATGTTAACACCTGCAACGACCTGCCTACTGAAAAAAAATTTGTGACCCACTTTTGGGTCGCGACCTATTGATTTAGAAACAAATTAACTTATATATCTAGCTGTCTACCTATATTAGACAAATTCTTTAAAATTTTAATTTTCATACCATTTAGGATCTAAAAATAAAATTAATAACTACATTACTATATTGCAATATTACTACCTCTATACCAGTGGTTTTCAAACTTTTTTTGACCACAGCACATATCGCTTTTCACAACATTTTTACGGCACACTGTGGCCTTTTTTTTTTTTCATTGTTTAATTTTGTACACAAAATTAGAACTAATAACAAAATTAATAAGTCATACTCAAACAAATCATAATCAAAAGTTACACCTTCATACTTAATGAGCGGATCACTGTAACCAATTTAAGGAAATCAAATTTCAAAAAACATAGTGAATGCTCGCGGCACACAGTTGAAGACCACTGCTTTATACCAATATATTTTTGAAAAGAGTGTACAAAGCCATACCATTATTAATTATTAATTATGTACATTATACCTATGTGATTTATTTTAGATTCTGAGCGAAGCGAAGAATGTATTGGTTTTACAATGATGTTGATTTTTTATATATATATTCTATGTACAAAATTCCTACCAAAAATCATCCTCCGATATATCAAGTAAAAATGTACATACATGTATAATCAAACTCCGCTCCGAATCGTTTTTCGTTAGCAATGAATAATCATTGTGTACAAATATGCATTAAAATGTGTTCGTTTTCTTTTAGAAAATATTCGTGTATTTATTTCCATAGACGATAGATAGATAACTAAATAATATTTTCGTGAAATTCGCTTTACTCAATAGTGTACACAATAAATTTAAATAATTCAAAATAAACAATTTAAATAGGCACCTTGAAAATATTTACATTTTTTACGGCTAAAAAAAAAATTTGAATTAATAAATTATATTCTATTAACTACATAACAAGTGCATAATAATATTATGGAGAACTTTTCACGAAAATTTAATGGTAATCTGTGCATCCGCTTAACAATGGGGAAAATACTTTTTTAGGGTAAAGTACTTTCCATGCATAACTTCCTTCCTGGGAATTCCCGAGGAACAGGAACGACCGAACAACACTAGTATACACAAACTTTTAACAGAAGGCCGAGATACTTCGGTACATAAATAAATACCAAACGGTAGACATCATGCGCATTTATCAATTCTGCGACCTGTCCGAAATTCGCGACACGACTAATTTAATTACGTTTAGGTGTAGCCTTGAAATCTCTTTTTCATTTAAACTCGTACATAAATAATGTATTTACATGGGTGAACTACGATAAGGGTAAATTCAACGCACGACCTTTCTTCTTTTTTTTTATTAATAGCTTCATAATACTACGATAAATATACATACGTAGAGAGAGAGAGAGTGTCGATATTAATAATCACTATAAATTAACAAATTGTTATGCAATACTTTATAGTTATACAACATCAAGTTCAACAATGTCTAAAAATAAATAAATACATTTTTTTTCTCTGTATATTTAAATAACGTTAAATTTAAACGGTTTAGTATACTAAGCCAAAAAAATGTTTAAAAAGATATTCAAATTATTATTCAAAAAAAAAGGCGACAAACTTCATATCATGGGTGCACCAATATTTTAGGTAAGAAATTGGGTAGATAAGTTAGATTAAAGTGATTTAGTTTATATTAAATGTAAGTACGCAATAATTAATCATTGCTGAATGCTAATGAAAAATAATTATGAGCGAAGTTTGGTTAAACATGTTCGAAAGACTTAAATTAAACATTGTATTAATTTATAACTATAAAATAAATTACAATTATCCATATTTTTTCGTCTCAAATTCTTAGTAATTTTATGAAGCCAAAAGTTATATCCGCCTAATTGGAAAAATAATGCGCGATGAAATTCTGTGGTTTAACTAATCAAAAATTAAAAAAATAAAAACATGCGTATTTTCGAGATTTGTATAGTTCTTTAGTAACAACTTATGATTAACGTTATATTAAATTTAGAAATATTTTCAAGAAGCCGAAAATATTGTATCCACGTCTTTTTTTCTTGGCCTTCATCCAACAATTTGGGATCAGCCATCCTCATTCTAAACTTTTACTTGACCCGATCTCCCACCTCGCATTCAACCACTCACAGCTATCATTTTCAATTCTTTCAAATCATTCTCAATCGCATCCAACCCCCTCTTTTTTCAGTCTTCCTCTCCCCCTCTTTCCACCTACGTTTATTTTCATTTAAATTCTTACTGCTTCTTATTCCTCTCTCTCTGCTCATTACATGCCCAAACTATCTCAGTATAATTTTCTCTCATTTCGCCTACTATACAAGTTATTTCTAAACTACCTCTTATGTATTTAGGTAAAAATATTGCATTCACAAAAAACTTCAAATGGGATTAAATATTCCCAAGTAAACAGGTAACAAGAAAATAATATACATGGAATTGAATCTAGTTGAAATTTAAGTTTACGGAATGTCATTACGAGAGAAAAAATAATAAGTAACGTAAATTTACCGGAATTAAATAACTTTGACCGTAAAATGCCCGGAATGTAAATTCGTTTCAAAATATCAAAATATTCAAGATATAAAAATTAAAACCATCGCATTTATGCTCTCGTCTATTTTAAATATACGAACATACATATTTATAAACACTAAATATGCTGTTATAATACGAATAATTGATAGACACCTAAAGCCTAACATCAAAAGTGTCCGGGTTTTGAGTTTAAGTCCGGGGAACGCTGGATATTCGTTTAAACCATAGGAAATTTATTACGTCGGTCGCCGTAGTGACGACCGTTTTTACAGAAATAACAAGGAAATAATTGCTGACCAATTAAATACACAAACAAATCAGCTGTTGCTTCATGGATACAGTCGTCATAAAAGTTAACAGGGATCCGGCAACCCAGTAAATAACAATAATGTGCAAACAAAACAAACTGGTATGTGCCTACACATACTTAAAAATAAGATTAATTAGGCATATCATATGTAGAAGGTTCAATGCAGGTATTAGATAGGTTAGGTTAGGTTAGGTACCTAATATTATAGGTTTTATTTTTTAGTTTTGTGCTGGACATCAAATTTCACGACGTATTTCTAATATTCCACCGATTTGATCAATATATTATATCCACGAAATTAAAATAACATTGATCATAATTAAAGACCGAATTTATATGTTTTTAAATATCGTTACTGAGCTTATGAAGTCTTATGAGAGTAAGAAATGTTGACGATTCGTTCAATTCTGAGTTCGTAGGAAAAAGTTTATTTTTGCATATTTGAGAATATTTTATGGGTTAAGGAATAATTAGATTATGTTGCATGTTTTAGAATATTTTGTAAACTGTTAGAAAAAAATATTAATTTTAATAATACGATACCTGAAAAAAAATATTTTGAACATTTACAATTTTTTTTTTTTGTATCATTTTGATAAAAAGATTAAGTGTGCTCACTAAACATGGTGACTAACCTACAATGCTGGCAGTTATTTTCATACTTATAATAATATGAACCTATTCGTTTATCATTAATCATTATCAACTATTCAAATGTCCATATATTTTATTTTGCACTTTTCCAATCACTTGTAGCATGATTTTTAAGTTTTAAAAATTAAACTACATATATTGTTATATTTTTATTATATTCTTACTCTTACTTAAGTGCACCATTATTCTATTTTAATACGCAAGTGTCACTTATTATTTATAGAATGTTATAAAAAAAAAATTGATTATTTTTGCATATTTTTTAAAATTCTAAGAGAATATAATGAAAATATTTTAAAGTTTTTTGGAGAATATTAGCATCATATTTTAGGTGTTTTAAGAGAATATAAATCCGGTTTTTAATTATTACGGTCCTCATGGAGAGCGCGCTAATCACGCTAATCTATGTGGGCTGTGCAAAAAAAAAGGCCGAACACTGCAAGGATGGAATTTTAATTCGTACTATTTACTAGGTAGTCGAGACAACATAATTGATTAGAATAGGTAGATTTGGAAATAGTCGAGATAACAGTATAGTACCAAAAATTGCAAATCTTCGCATTTAAAAGGTTTAACCGGTATCATGAAATTTCCTGTAATGAACATAATATTATCATAAACTTTTTCTAAATATTTTACGACAAAAAGTAAAATTAATAACACTAAACTCCATATTTCATAATATATATTATAAATCATAAACTGTTAATTGTAAACCATGACTATAACAGAATATTAGGCAAATCCGCAAACTACCACAGATATAGATAATAAACTAGATTGCTAACTATAAAAAAAAAAAATAACAATAATATAAATTCATAATCAGGCCGGCAACGGCGTTTTTCCGCCATGTTGAATGAAAGTTTTGGTATTTTATCAATTTTTATCGCTGTGATTATACACAAATACATTTTATCGTAATTCATGAACTCGAAAATATTTTCAGTAATAATTAACGTAATTATTTATATGTTATATAACGGTTTATTTTATTTACACATCAAAAGAAATATAGTACTTGAGTATCCAAGTGTCTCCAAAAGGCAAAAACATTAAAAGAACTAATTTTAATGCTATAAACAAAGTTATGACCACAAGTTATTAAACAAAATTGTTTATGTAACTTTTGTCTTTTATTGACAAAAGCTTTCATAATAAAACTTAAAATTTTGCTGTAAGAGTGTATACGAATATTTAAATAAATACGGCTTACTAGGTTAAAAATATTTATCTTGTGTGGACGTGAATGTATATCAGTGTCTTCAAAACATTTATCTGTTTCTGGAAGTTTTTCTTGGGAAAATATTCTAGTATTTTGCTTATATTTACTGTTAAACACAGTTATGTGAAAACGTTCTCGGCAAAAATTAATTTAACCTACAACTGTATCAGTAATAATAGTAAAACAAATTACTCTAATATCACAATAGCATTTAATAGCATAATCCGTGTATGAATACAATGTACTCATAACATTTCAAATAATTGAGATATTTTATTCTGTTACGTTGGTGTAAATGTAGACGGTTAGTGATAAAAATGTTTTATAGTTTTTCGAACTACCCGATACCCATATTCATGACGGTAACTCTTACTATTGACGGATGCTAAAAACCTCTGCTGCTGGAAATTTTTCGTACAAGGTTAGGTTAGGTTAGGCAACACATCATATGATAATTGCGGTTGTTATCGTTTTTGATAATGATGTTTTATTTGATAAGGTGACATAATAAACAATGCGTATTGTTACCTCTTGATAATAAGTATGTATATTTATCTTAAATATTTTGTTGAGTTTTAAAAGAAATGAATTTACTAAGTTAATATATAATTATAATACTTTCATCAGTTTATTCGTATCCAACTTCTTTACCACAATGTCTCTGGATTCTATTCCCAAAGATATGAGGGCCGCAAGAGCATGCCTCGTATGTTCGTTGATTAAGGTAATTTTAACAAAGTATATCTAGTCTATACATTATTTAAGTACCCTATCTAAACATAATATAAAAATATCATATGTATCTCGATTACTATATTATAAAAGTACGTATACTCAGTTTTATGTATATTTCTTTTATATTACTTTTTTATAACCAACATATATAATTTAAGTAAATTTAAATAATTTGTACGGTACTACAAATAAATAGGTATATTTATTTATTATTAGACAAATGAAAAATTATGTCTATCAAATTGGGTAAGATAAGGTAGATATTTAACCTAACCTAGTCGAATAATCTGTTTTAAATATTTATACCTTCGGATAAATATAATACACAATCTATACTTTATAATAAACATTACAAAATATTTTACCTATCAACTGAGATTTGTTACCTTATAATACATTTTTTGGAACAAATCTAATTACTAATTCATGTAATGTTTTCAATTTTTTGAACATATGTATTGCCGAGTTAAGAATGATGGTGAAGAGTGAAATCAGAATTGAGCCATCTGACTTAGTTTCGAAGTTAAAGTTATTTGTGTATTATGTTAAATAACTCAATATTTCCAATTATTGTACTATGTTTGTCTTTGTCTAGTGGCTCGTCTAGTGGTGATACCTACCTTTTGTCAACCTAGAGATCCCAAGTTTGAACCGAATTACCAATAACTTTTTTTACACTTTACAATAATAACATTTTAAACTTCGGAAAGGTAACAGGGAAAAAACAGATGCATTTTGCAAGAAAAATATATTTAATAATTATTATTGTTTAGGGTACCGATAAAAACGCATAAAACATGTTCAACAACGAGGTTCAAATCAAATACGCACCATCAATAGATTATAATAAAAAACACACGAGAGAAGCAATATTGAATTATTTAACATAACACACATAATATCCAAACTTCAAAAGACTATAATTTTGAAACTAAGTCAGTCCAGTCAATTTTAACTTCATCATCATCCTTAACTGGACAATATGCATATGCTCAAAAAAAAAAAAAAAAAAAATAGGTAAAAATTTTCTTGTACCAGTAACTAGATTTATTCTCATTTTATATAGACTTAGTAATGATGACAAACAACTTATAATTTCTCTTGTTAAGCATCGTTAGTCAACAATAAGTACATATTTGTTGAAAATTTAAACTTTTTAACAAAATCGGATCAAAAAAAATTTCTATAATATTCCAATGTTATACCTGTCTAATTATATTGATATAAATATTGTAGGTACCTACTTATACAAATCAAATATAATATCAAATCATACTCCAAAAACAAAAGTATGCAATAATAAAAGTTAACAATTTTTGTTTATTCTTGTTTTTTAATAAATATTTCCTTTAATAAATAACTTGTGTGGTTTTTCAAATTTAACTTGTAACACCACACACTTAAATTAAATTTAAAAAAAACCAACGAACTGACATACTTACAATCGACTCCTTGTAAATTATCAATTTACCAAATTTAACATTAACTAACTTATTTTTTTTTTTCAGACCTTCGATCAGTTTGAATTTGATGGTTGTGATAACTGTGATGAATTTTTACGAATGAAAAATAACCGTGATCATGTCTATGATTGTACTAGTTCAAATTTTGATGGGTATGTTTGTATAGTTGTAGACTTACATTGAATTTATTCTTATCATGTATTAATATTAACAGAATGGTTGCACTAATGAGCCCCGAAGACAGTTGGGTTGCTAGATGGCAGAAAATCAGTAAATATTTTTTTTATATATTTATATAACATTAGATCTTACTTATATACACTATATTACTTTTACAGACAGGTTTACAAAAGGAATTTATGCTATATCAGTAGCTGGTCGATTACCTCAAAATTTTATAAGGGAAATGAAGGCCAGAGGCATACCATATCGTCCTAGAGATACAACATTCAAATAAATAAGTATTCATATTTTGTAACATTTTCACAAAACAACATGTAAAACACAAATGTAATTGTCTAAGTGTAAACTATAAATTCATAAATAAACAAACATTTAAAAAAAAAACTGATTTTTATAGTTAAATTTAAAATTCTCTAAATTTGATTGTACAAAATATATAATAAATTAATTAGTATTATTTAATATAAGTAATAATTATAATTATTATATTTAGTATAAGTTAGTCTTTTCATTTGTAAAAATTGATTGGTCGTTCTTTTGTTGACGGTATAAATGACATTGTCCTTCTGATTTTAACTTGTGGTTTTATGTTCAACAAATCGGCCTGTAAACACAAATTGTATTGTCATTTTATAATTATCTGTTCAAATAAACTTTTTTTCTTTTCTTTTTTGTGTATATAATAAATACAAAAATAACAACTGGTTTTAATTATGTTAATAATATAATATATTACAGGTTCTACTATGGTAAGTGACGTTACTGCTTTTTCAGAAACACTAATTTTTTTTTGAGCTCTTGTTAATTCGTCGTCAAGTCGTTGTTTTTCAGCTTCTAATTCAATCAACCTCTGTTGCGCTTCTAAAATTATAATTTAACAATACACAAATATTTTTTAATTGCCAATTATAATTTTTATCTTACCTATCAATTGATTTTCTTTCTCCCGTTGTTTAATCTCAAATTCTTTTCTTTTCTCTCGCTCTTGTTCCAGTAGCAACCGCTGTTCTACCTGTAATCGTTCGAGTTCTTCTCTTTTTTCCCATTCTTCTCTTAAAACTCTATAAATGCAAATAGTACAAAAAACAAATTAATTAAATAGCAATAATTATTAAGTATTGTTATTATCATTATCACCTGGCTTGTAAGTTACGAACTATTTCTTCATCGCGCTTTGCCTGTGTTTCTTCCTCAAGTAGATTTTCCAGTTCTTCAACGTGTTTTTCACTAGCCACTTTGAGTTCTTTTGCCTGAATTTCCATAGCCACCCTGGCCTAAAAATTAAAATGTCAAAACCTTTTGAATATTCTTATAAATATCTTTAAAATTTGCATACTTGTTTCTCTGCCTGTAATTGGGCATCCATATCGTGTATTATACTGCTTCTTCTATGTTTTTCTTGAAGTTCTGCTTTCTTTCGTTGTTGCCTTTCACGCAACAGCGTACGCTGATAACCTTCTGTACCCGCCGAATAGGATATTGCCAATTTTAAAGATGATATCCATTGTAATCTACTTCTATAACATTTAATCATGTGAATCGTAAACAACTAAAACTAATGGTTAACTTTTTCCATTTAAATTTACTTAAGCAGGTATTAATTAAGTAATTAGGTAATTAAGTACTAGATCTATGTATTCAAAAAAGTGGAATATAAAAAACCTACTATTTAAAAAATAGTAGATCACCTTAACACTACAAAAATAAAATAACATTTAAAATAAATAATTTTTCTTTAAAACTTTTTATTTATTATGTTCACAAAATGTCATCATAATCAATTGGAAACAAATAAAGTACCTACCTACATACAAATCAAAAATATTAAATATATAGCTTACCTGTGATCCTTAGTGGCAAATTCAAAAGTTCTTTCAGTTGTATGCAACATTATACGCTGTAAATTAGAATCCACCCAACATCTCCGATCTAAAGTTATCGACCCACATTGCTCTTTTTCTTCTTCGTTCTTGTAATATAATAGCTGACAAGGTTTCAGTACAAACCAATATTCCCGTAATGTAGGCAATAAATATCCACGTTTAAGTAGTACTCCCTGCCAAAAATAAATCTAAATTAACAATATACCTACATATAACTACTGCTAGAAATCTATTTGCTTTTTAATACATATGGCTGTAAATACTTTGTTGATTAAATATTAAGCTATATAAATAATTTGAATAACAAATATTCTTCAAATATTGCATTCATCACTGGACAGTCTAGATTCTAGGTACCATCACTAGTAGCGGACAAAATACAGTTAGGTGTTTACTTATATTGATATTACAAACTTTGGCAGTTTATAATAAACAGTAAGTAAATTGTATTCAAATCAGTAAATCAAACTGATTTTAATTGGTTTCTGCGTCTGAAAATGTTCATTAGTGATGGGCACAACTTAATCGAAACCGAGAGAGGGGGAAGCAGGCCCTCCTCAGACATATTTTTTCCACAATTTATTTTTAATAATTTTATAGATCCTGATATTACTATAGTTGAATCCAATCACAAACATGTATAATAATATAGTATATTATAATAGTATTAGTGTTTTAAAAAAATGATTGCCTTCCCCCAGATCTTTACCCTAGATCCGTGCCTGATTGAAACTATCAAGTTATTTGATAAGTTAACGAATGATTCAATAGTACTATTGATTTATTGAACTCTGTTTAAATTTGTAATTTGATATTATTCTTCCTCCTTTAGTAGAGCACAGGATAACATTACATTAACATTTGAATACTTTTTTAATAGTTAGTTTTAATAGTTTTAATAGTTTTAAAAGTAATCAGTAATGTAATTATTCATTAGAATAGTATTTTATAGTTTTACTTAAACTATCGAATGTAGGCAATAGTCAAAACTGTTTAATTGTGCCATTGATTTTATAATATAGTACATTATAAAAACATTGTGCCCATCACTATGTTCAACAAGTGTCATAATTTAGATAAGTAAACATATATGGTAGGTACTTAAAGAAATCGGATACCAATAACATTTTCTTTCTTTGTCTAACACATATGTTACATAACAGTTTAGACTAATAATTGCCTTGTAATTAGTAATAAGTAATTAGTAATGTAATAAAGCGATAAGAATTCTGAAAACAATTTCCGACTCCCTTAAAAGAAAAAAACACCTACCATATTCATACAATATTTGACATAAATTTAGTTTATGGCCCAAGCTCATTATTACATTTTTTTTTCCAAAATGTGTGAATTTAATACTTAGTTCATTGGTGTAATCAAAACTTACTTATCATACTTATTTTTATAGTTATTGTACTTAAACCTTAAAACAGCATTTTTGGAATTAATCCAAAATGTGAACGTTGTTATTATTATTATGATTTGTAGTTATTGATATTTTGATAACAAAGTTTTTTTATTGAAGTCAAAATAAGTCTTTCGGCTTAGATTTAAATTTACATACGTTTAAACCCTAGTGACCCCACCAGGTTTCTAGATGCATCCAAAATTCTATTTTCAAGGTTTAAATACAATAAATTCAAAAGTAAGTATAATAGGTAAGTTTTGATTATACCATTAGATTAAGCATTAAAAATCATACATTTAGGGAAAAAAAAAATTTGAAAATGTTAAATTCTCACTAAAAAAACGCGAAACGGAAAACCCAAACTTCATGAAGTTTCCCCCATAACTTCCAAACAAAGTTCGTCCGACTTTTTTGTTTTGATTCATTAAGAATCTAATCCATTACTTGTACATTAAGTACATGTAATGACAAAAACACACATTTTGAAAAAAAAATTTGAAAAACGAGCTTGGGTCGTAAACTAGATTTGTTCTCAATTGTTTACATGTCTACTGATTATTGTATTTTTAAGTTGAAATTACTAAAAAAAACTATAGGTACTCAGATACTTACTCTAAATTATAAACCATTTTTTTTATCCATCATTTAAATAGGTCGGTAGTGACCAGTAAATCAATTTTAGTTTCTTACTTTTTTTATGATATCATCAATGAACGTATTGGTAACTGCGTTTAATGCTTCCACCAAGCCTGCTTGATCGACGTCAGCTAAATATCGCTTCTCCAGTAAAGTCAAAAATGTTCCAAACTGAAAACCGTTAGCGTTGCCAATGAGCTCTTCGAAACCAGATTGGTCCCAGTCACCGCCCAATGACGTAACAATTTGCGAAGCCACCAAGCCCACCTCGGACGTATCCATTATAACCTATATACATATATTTTCTACTATTCTTGAATAATTATCACAAAATAAATCTATATCTATTTTTAAATTCGAGATTATACTTGGAATCTATTCGGCCTTTCCGGATCCGCGACAAGCTCGGATAGAAAACAAAACACCCGGAATAGTTTGTACATGCAATCTTCCGGCAATACCTGGCACTTGGAAATATAATCTTTTTTACAAATCAGCCAACACACCTCGTCTATGTTAGACTCGAATCCCTGAAGCACCGGCAGCGATAAAATATTCGGAAGTGACAGAAAAACCTAAAACGCGCAGAGATTTCTGATAAAAATGTCATATTATAGTCAAATCAATGTACAAACACAATATTATAAATCTATACCCACTTCTCGTAATAAATAATATTTGAAATGTTGAAAGTTTAACGTTGTCGTGCTCCTGTAGTGTTCAAGGCCTTTTTCTACGCCATAAAGGTCAAGGAGAATACCAATATTTGCCGTTAAAACCTATAGATTTATAAAATACATAAAAATATAAAATGCATAATTTGACAAATTTAATACCATTAGGTAATTTGAAATAATAAATAAAACTGAAAATGAAAATACAGAAGTATCAAAAATAACATATCTTTGAAATACACGATGCGCAAAGCTCAAATTAGAAAAATGAAAATAGAGAGACAGTGATGTGACTTAAGAAAAAATTCCTATTCCTAACTCCTGCAGGCTACGTTTTGGCTTACATATTTATTTATTTTATGTGTATTGTGCCATTAGTAATAATGTTTTACATAGGAATTTCTAATTTATATTTTCATATTTTATTTATTTTTACAAAATTGTTTCTTATTTTCATAAAAAAAACTATTTTGATGTTTAGATTTTTGATTAAATTAATTTACCTAGATAGATATCGCATGACATTACTATCACATAGGGCAAATGTGCAACACAAAAAAGAGCTGATACTGGAGATGGGTTCAGCCTCTGTTTTAGGTGGGAAAGTGGGATGTTATGTAGTAATTTAATTTATATCTGCACGTAACGATAAACCATTATTAATGAAAAACGATTCGGAGCGAAGTTCGGTAAGACATATATCGAAATTCCGTAATGTGTAGGTATGATTTTCGTCAAAATTTGATCTTAAAATATTTATGAAAAAAAAAAACATACATTAAACTCAAGTTTGTTTTTGAATACAACTTATAATGTGTTTTGAGTTAAATTTTCAAGCATTTCTCTTAAGTCATTTAATTTTAACAACAGATACCTACCAAATAAGAGATATTAATAAATACAATATATAAAAACGCAAAATATCAAATATCTAAAAAAAACCTAAAAATATCTAGAATGTTTTGAACATTTTCACCACGTCTACTAAAGGCCGATATAAATATTTTGTAAAAACTACAGATCTTATCTGCAATAATATTTTTATCCGAATAACAACAAAAATTCAAAATTCCGTTCACTTTACCGTATTTTCTGTTTTTTTCGGCTTTTCGTAAATTATTAGGAAAACTATATGGAAAATGAAACAATGAATTTATTGCTCATAAACTAGATAATATTTGATTTCAGAAAATATATTATTCTTAAAATTTAGACAAAGATTTCTGGTAAAAAAATATAATCTTAACAATTTTAAATAATAAAATCGTTGCACCGTAACAAAAAACATCGTATTTTTTGATTATTCCCAAATTATTACGAAAATTACTTTAGAAATCAAAAAATAACTTCTCTGTCAGTGACTATACATTAAAAGGAGCTAAATCGATCTCTCGTCACTTTTCATTTGGAATAATATTTCTGGGAGAAAATATAGTTTGCAAAAATTAAAAATAATGAAATCGGTAACGTCGCGACGTGCTTTAAATATTTGACGTTTTAACTACAATTATTATTTTCGGTTTTCCAAAAAATTTTAAAAGCCCCTGGGGAAATTAAAAATTAACCTTCGCAATTTCTTTTCAAAAAAAAATTACTACACTCATTACTATACATCAGAGCAAGATTTCTGGTGGAAAAGTTGTTTACAGATAGAAAAAATATATATACATCATAGTAAAACCTGCAATAGATCCCTTGCTACATTTCGAATTTAAAATATAAATAACTACAACGATATTAACTAAATACTGATAATATTACCGATTTAAAATAATTACAACATTGAGTACCTACATCCGAGTTTGAAATATACGTTTTTTTGAAAATATTATTCTTTGCAAAAAGAGACGTACCGGCTCTCGGCCCCAATAGAAATAACTATTTAGGGGACGCTAAAAAAAAAAGTAAAGGAGCTACGCCCCCCCCCCCCCCCATCCCAAATTCGAGCACTGACGATATACCATAATGTGTACACTATACACAGGTTATTATGTTATTAATTTATTATACATGCCTTAATATATCAGACAACCTACCTACATAAAATATTTGTTTATACAATGGTAAGTAATCATTAATCAATTACGATCATTGATTATTATATATTTAAAATTGACGAGTTGATTTTTTTCTCATATTACACCTACTTACCTAATTGTATATAATTATTAGGTTTCGTTATAAGGACGGTGCATACCGAATTTTATATTAGATTAGATACCGGTAATTTATTTTTTTTGTTTAACTAACCTACTCGGCAATATTTAGAATGGTAATATTTTCTTTCAATCGGTCTGATCAATGACGGCGAAGCGTTAAGAATATTCCGAAAACAGAATTCAACGGGAAGTACACGGGATCGGTCAGGTTACCGTTTTGTTATTTTTTTAAATTATATATTTCAAATCAATTTATTGGAAATTAAAGCTGAATTACATACGAAATAGCGTGGTCTAGCCGATCTCGTGTACCTTTATACTTCGGACTGTTTGGAGAAAACCAGTTGAATTAAATTTCCACGATTCGTATAATTATGTTTTGTAATTAGAGAGTTAGATAAAGAAAGAAAAAAATGCCATTAGAATCTTATAATTTAATACATTTTTATAATATATATATATATATATATAATATGTTTTTATTTAAATAATTCTTCTAAATACTATGGATATCTATAGTATTTGATTATACGTATAGAGGAGTAGGTACTTATACTTGTTTTTTTTTTTTTTTTTAAATGCGTTGATTCTCATAAACAATTTGTGCAAATAATAATATTGTATTAATATTATAATTTAAAACCATTAATTGTACTAGGTAGATATATGACTTTATTTAGAGTTGAAAGAAAACGAACGCGTTTAAGTGTTATCGAACGAGTCATGATGAACGGGTTTGTTAAAAAGGCGTCATCATATTATTATTGTAGAACGCGTTCGGTTTTGCTTCGTTTTATTTGTCATTCGCGAACATTGTTAGGCTAGGTACCGATAACCTACCTATAATTATTATTTTTTATCTTAACGATCGGGTATAGCGCGCGTAATTTATTTTTATTTTGTTTTCTCTTTAATGAACCTATAATTATAGATAAACTATACTGGTAATTATATTGTCCGCGAACAAATTAACCGTAAGTAGGTATAATAACATATAGATATTATATTAAACAGGTAAAATACGAACAGAGCATTTCCTACACATATATGTACCCTGCCTCGGGTCGCCTATATTGCCAACACTGTCGGAAAAACTAAAGAAATAGCCAGTACCGCATAGAGTAATACTATCTATACAGTACCATTGATTTAATATTGATTTATAATCAATGCCAGTACCTAACCTATGTAACATAGAGTTTTTATATACATTGTTGTTTAACTTCACTCTCACACACACTAGGATAATATTATGGTCCTGTATGTCATATTTTTCGAATAGACAATTGACGCCCCGGACGTCTCGATCTCCGTTTCTGTATAAGTACCAGGTGATTCATTTAAACGGGTACACTCATTATCTCGGGAAGTATTAACTTTTTTCGGAATCTGTTTTCTAGAACATTTAAGAAACAAACTGCTTAACAATATTATATTTGTGTTATTTTTTTGTCACCCTTATTTTTGGGGGTAAAACCATTACTTACTTTTGATTTTCCAGAGGCAACCTATGTTGAAAATTCCATAAAAAGATGGAGTATTAGTTAAAATAAATATTGGTGTTGACATTTTTGATTTCTGTCAAACCGTTAACCGGATATTCCACTTTTAAGTTTGGGTTGGAGGAGAGTAGTGGTGCATTATTAACACGCCGCACGCCGTACTGCCACACAAATGATACTCCACTACTCTCCTCCAACCCGAACTTAAAACTTGAATATATCGTAAACGGATCGACGGAAATTAAAAATGTCAACACTAAAATTTATTTTAACTAATAATCCATCTATTTAAGGAATTTTTAATATAGGTTGCCGTTTGAAAATCAAAAGTAGGTAATGGTTTTAACCCCAAAAATAAGGGGACGAAAAATAACATAAATATAAAATTGTAGAGCTGCTTGTTTCTAAAATATTCTAGAAAACAAAATCCGAAAAAAGTTAATACTTTCCGAGATAATGAGTGTAACCGCTCAAATGAATCACCCGGTATGTGTAGTTAAATATAAGCTTTAAATATTGTCGAAACTATCGTTTTCAACAATACTTGTCTTCCTGATTCTATAATTGAAATTTAAATTTAAAAATAAATAAAATTTACCTATTCCGAACCTACCTACTTACAATTAGGTAAGTAGTACCTATATAAACGATTTTCTTTTAATAAAAAGGAATAATATTATGTAGACGAACAATTTGTTTTCCCTATAAACGTAAAGAAGCTCGGCATTTTTCCCTTATTCATGTTCCTTTTAATCACGTATAGATTTTTAACATATAGAAATAATATAGTGAACTAATAAATTATTTAATATGTAAACGATTCAACGATTACCAAACACAACGTACATGATACTATACGATAGTAATTTTTTTCGGTCAACAACTTTCTCCATTTAAGTATGTATAGGTACATATTTATTTTGTACCTACGTTTTTGCAATGTTCTACAAAATATGATATATATTTAAATAATATTTTTTATATTATCATCGTTATCCTAATATACTTATTCCTATCTATAACCCGCATACGGGCTAGCAGTATATAATGTTATACATATTTTTTGTTTTCATACGACTCGCAATAGTTATTTAGTATACAGTATGTGGGTTACTCTCCGCATCATTTATAAAAAAAAAAAAAAAAAAAAAAAAAAAAACAATAACATCGGATTGGTGCGTAAAAAATAATAACGAATGCATAATATTATAACTGCTTTGGACATGATAATATTATGACAGAGTATACCCTACGCCTGCCGGTATACGGAATTTTTTTGTTTTTTAATAATCGTAACTTCTTAAATGACGTCATACTTATATTACTGTGAATTAACAATCTGTAGTACACAGGATGATAGACGTAAAACACTCGCTATCTCAGAGAGCATTAACTTCTTTCGTTTTATTTAAAATATTTAGGCCTATCTTATTAATCGTACAGTTAACAATAGTACATAATTAGACAGATAGTAGACAATTATAGTTAATCGTACAGTTAACAATAGTCTAAAATAAGATAAAAACTAACTATAAATTAAAAAATTATAATTTTAACAAACAAGCAGCTCTAAAAATTTTGCAACACTGTTACGCTTTTGACACCTTTATTTAAGGGAGTGAAACTGTTATACTAATTTTTGATTTTCAAATAGCAACCTGTATTAAAAGCTCCGTAAATATATGAAGTTTTAGTTTTCATCAATTATGATACACTAAACACTAAAATCATGTATTCATACAAAAATTTCATATAAAGATGGTATTTCAATATAAGTTGCTTTTTGAAAATCGATCGGGACTAATGATAGTTTCACTCCCAAAAATAAGGGTGCCAAACAGAACGGTAATGAAGATAATATTTTAGAGCCGCTTATTGTATTTTAAATGTTCTAAAAAACAAATTCCAAAAAAAGCTAATACTTTCCGAAATGATTAATGTCTCACTCTGTATATCTACGTATGACTAGGTGCATAGCGTACAGTTAGCGGAAATTATTATTAGTCACGTCGTGCGCGCGGTCCATATGCAAGAGATCCGTGATTGCAACCGAAAAATTAAACGTTATCGATAGGTATACCTGTAAGCTATTTATTCAGTTATACTTTTATTTGGTTTTATAAATCCCTGGTTCGTATACATGTTATCATACAAATTTCCTACAAAAATATAATATTTTGTTATAACATCTGTAATCAATCATTTACTACTGTTAATTTATTTTCTAGCGGAAACACAGTAAACAAAATCTTACTTTACTGGACGTTCACTATCCAATAGATTTTATTACTGTGTGTACATTTGGATTTTAGACACATAGAAAATCTCCTTAAAAAATTCCCTGGACCATACCGTCTCATAACCGAATCTCCCGACTATCTCTATATCCACCGTCAAAATCTTTCAGTGTGGCCCACTTCTTATGGCTATCACGTCCTTTCTAAGGTTCCGGTAATACTTTATAGTTTACAAGTCTTTGTTTTAACATAATTTATGTGAACCAATGTTTACACCGAAATTATTGTTCTCGTTCGAAATGATAGTAATAATATAAATGAAACACAATGCGTTTTAATCGAACATTCACGCAGCATTTTTCTTTTGTTCTGGTTTTAACGAAAAAAAAAACAAATATGGTTTGATCAAAATCCAACACAATTATGCCGATAATTTTTATTTGATAATTTATCCAACGAAAATTGTTGACAAATTATTTTTAAAAAAAAAAAAACACTGACACCTATCGACGGTTATAATTTATTATAGAGTTGTGTGAATTCATATAGTACATCCATTTTCTTTTTAATCTTATTTTAAGCCATACCTATAGTACTCATATATTAAATAATCTTGCTCAATATACATTCAAATTTTCTAACAATAAAAACAAAACTTTATATTTATATCTCTTTATATTTTTTTAACACTTACTATTTTTCCGTTCTTTTACCACTTTGTTAATGCACTTTATAGTAATTTTTAACGGTTTCTATTGATTGTATTTTTTTTAATATAAGTAGGTACATATTATTATCACGACATGTGAAATATTATAAATTAAAGAAAATATCAAACCGTTTTATGAATTTGATGCAGACTTTTAATACAAAAAACAAACGAACATACTTTTTACGATAGGTGGGCTACTGTTTTAGATAAGAAGTTAGGCAAATTATAGAGGAGAAATTTAATGTCTATCTTTAGGTACAGATTAATCATTAATAACGAAAAACGATTCTGAGCGGAACTCGGTTATACATGTTTTAAAAGTTTGTTAATATTTACGATTTAAAAGTAATACACATTTTCCAGTTTTTCCTACGTTTTTTCTCATTTATTATGAAAACTTCTGGGAAAATCAAAAAATTACCTCCCTAAAGTACTCCCCCCGTCTAATTTCCAAGTCCTACACTTCTGATAGAAAAGTTATTTACAAATAAAAAAAAATAAATAAAAAAGAATAATAAATAAAAAAAACTTGCAATATACGAATTCCTCGCTCCGCTCAAAATCTAAAAATATTCGATTTATCGCATTTTATACAGCCCCCTTTTAAGTGACTTGTTTAAAATTCGGTACGTACTATATTTTTTTGTTATCCATAAGTTATTTAACGTTTTAATATCACACGACTGGATTATATTATTATAATAGGAGGAGTTTATCGGGGACACGCGTCGAAAACTTATCACGCGCGGTAAATATTTTATTATTACAATATTACTGTTGCTCCCGCAGCAAACATGACGTAATCTCGTGTAAAGTATAGACTATGTCGTATGTAGTAACGGCGGATTAAACAGCGGAGTCTGATAATCATATTCACACGATTTCGCGGGATCAAACGATATTATTTATTTTGTATTAGGTATTGATAACACACACCCACCGCCAGATTTCGATATTATTAATTTCCGTACCATTTTATCGGAGAGTATTCATATTATATAGAACTACGCAATAATAATAATAATATGTCGTAAAATTCACTATTTGGGATATTTTCCCGAAAAGGGAGATACCTATTTAGTAGCTATTAAATTAATTGAACACTGCCCTAAAATTAAACTGAAATCGAATGCCATCGCCTATTATCTGATCTAAATAATATTAGTAAATATTAGGTATTAATTTACATGATTTAAGCATTGTCTTAATTCGCTTGCGTTTTAATCTAGCGTGGCGTCCGCGACCAGTCTCGTTTCAAACAAGGAAATGTAGTAATTAAATAAGTTCATGTTTTTTTTTTTTTTTTTATAATTTAACTAACTGACTCGCTAAATACAAAAAAGGCGTACGTCCAAGTTTTCAAATTTTCTAAAAAGGACAAAAATGCTTAATATCTCTGAAAAAGATTGAAAAACAAAATTTATTCTGTGAGATATCGTCTATATAAGTTTCTACATTAATTGTGCGAAATATTTGTATTAAAGATTATAAAACTAAAATATTCAGTTGTTTGTCTATCTTGATAAATATTACAAATTTAAGTATTTACCTATCAATTATACCTGCATATATTATAGTATCAAGACTTTTTTTTTTTAACATTTTTCAGACCTAACCTCAGGCTTCATAGTTGAATAAAAATATAGAAGTCTTATGTATAAATAATAGATTTTTTTTAGTTTTTTAATTTCAAGGGGGGTCGATTACCTATATTATATAATTCCTTAATCCCCTGTCCCCTAAATACGCCATTGCTGTATAGTATTGTAGATGTAGGTATTCGTGCGTCTAAAACCGATTATAAACAATATTACGAATATTGAAAAACAAAACCGTACCTACAGCTACGCGGTTCAATGTGGTATAAATTAAAATAACATAACGAGATAAAAAAAATAAAGAAAGAGAAAGAGATAAAAGCCGTATTTACTATACAGTCTCATTCGTCGTCGACGTGCTTCGACGCACGATATCCGTAAACGAACTGATATTGAAATAATTGCGGTAAGCATATTATTATAATATAGTCCAAAAGTCGAACGGAATTGACTCTAAACTCGCACGTACTGTAAGCGGTTTGTATGTATAATTAATAAGTAAATTTGTAGACTTATCGCTGACCACCCAAAAAAATTTGTACATTTTTTGTGTGTGCCTCTAAACAACTTTATTATCAGAACTTTTGCTGCAATCAAAAACTTTATAGCAACTTTCTTGTAGCATTAGCGATATACTTGAGGCGGTCATTTTTTTTAAATTTTCCTTGTAGTTTTCTAGCTTGAGTTTTGAACAATTTGTTAAATCCGACTTACGAGTTTTTGCTGGGTAGCCGGCAATAATATACGACATATATCTATGAGTAAGTAGAATATTTGATATCCCGTTTTTGGATTACTAATATAGGTACTCACTTTGAGTTTGGACTTGACCACGGTTCCGGTATTGTCCACGTCCAGCGAGTTGAACGCTTGCCACACGCAATTCGTGACGTTTTTCAACAGAGCCGACATGGTAATAAGTGAGGCAAGTGGATGTATAGGTTTTTTATAACCAAATGAGAGTTTGGATGTTTTATAGCTCTATATAATAAAAATAGCGAAAAAAAAATAAATAAGCTATTATTTGAGACACTGTGAATAATATAATAAAATCGGTTTATTAGTTTCATTTTAATTATGATGATAATGCATAAAAATAAGTAAGTATATGTAGTTATTTCAAATATTTTAATTACTTATGTGCCTATGGTTATGCTTATAAAAATTTTAAAAAAAAAAACTTTAGAAAAATCAAAATATTGTCAGTTACAACAGTGTCGTATATTTTGTGCCTGTATGTAAACGACTTTTCTACCAGAAATTGTCCTTCAGCCGAAAACTTTATAGGGGACTGAAAATTTTGCTAACTGCTGAATTGCTGAACTGGAACCACGGACTACTCTAACAGTAGTTCTTTTTGGCATCACAAATTAAACCATGGTATTTTATTTATTATTACAGTAGAAACCGATTATAATGACATTCAAGGAACTAGTTAAAATTAGTCAAAATAATCGATAGTCATTACAACCAAAATTATAAATGAAATTTAAAAACTTGATTGTATATTTATGTATGTAGGCCCATGAAAATAATATTATGTTACTATTAATGTGTCACTTATTAATAAATTACTAAATAAATAAAATTAAATATAATCACTAAACTGTGACTTCAATACACACAGAAAAATGAAATTAAAAAAAAATATTGTTTTTTTAAAATTAACAAATCTTTTATCTTAGTTATTGTACATCGTTTATGTACAAGTTATGCAGATTTGTCAATTATAATCAAAAATAACCGTCATAACCAGTGGCACACACAAAGGGGGATTATGGGGTCAAACCCCCCTCCGAAATGTCTTCCTTCAGTAAATTTTTTTGAAATCGAGTTTACATTCAACAACATAATACCTTATACCACGGAATAAAATACAATTTAATTTCATCAAAAATAATTTTTTCAATAATAATAGTGATAGTACAGTACTGATAATATGTACCATCCCCTCTCTAGGATATTATTATAAACAAAACCTCTCCCGAAAAAAATTCTGCGTGCGCTACTGGTCATGACACCCGTACAACCATTATACTGCCGTTATAAAATTCTATACAAATAATTAGTACTAATATATCGTATTAGTACAATATAAGAGTTTTGCCGGGACCTTCAATCTAATAGTCATTACACTCAATATGTCACTACAACCGGTGTCATTTTAAACGGTATCTACATTATTTACCACCGAAATAATATAATTTAAACATTGAAATTCACACAACTAATAAAACCCCATGAATATTAATCATTAAAACAATTTTAAAATAAATTTTAATACTGAACATGCGTTAGTGTAGCCTAAAAGATTTACATACAAATTTGGTCAACAGATAACATTGTAAATTGTCGGTCTACGTTGCGACCGTAAAGTAATATTGCTCTATAATTACGACGCCCCGCACAAGTTCCAAGTTTCCAATTAAAAAATTACTTGAATTTTACCCCAAGTTAATATAATACAACGTTTATACATACAACTTTACCAGAAATTATGATATTTTGCACACGTGATGTACTTAAATAACCTGTGAGTTTCGAGTAACTACGTTGAAAATTGCGCTTGTTATAACGCAGCATTCAAACTAATAATAATAACAATAATAATAATTTCGAATAATGTTTTACGGATTTGAGAGTAGGTAGATAAGCAGATTTGCTGAACGGCCTCCGAAGTTCGACAAAATACTGAACTGGGTTAAAACGAGTGCAATTTTCAACGCAGACATTATAAAAGGTTATTCAAATACGGTAGAATCCATCACATACACAAAATTTCATAATTTCCGGGAATGTCTTTAGGTAGATAGACGATATTTCTACGGCAAGTAACTTATTAAAGGTAAAATTCAAGTAAATTCGCAAAACTTAAAACTTGGCAGATAGTTGTTATGGACCTTGTTGAGATTCGGGCCACGCGGAATTTTTCGACCACGCTACGTTGGGGAGCACGGGGGTAGAGGGTCGCAATTATTGAGTAGGTAATAATACTCTATTACCTACTCTTAGATGTAATCGCCACAGTTATGTAAAATTTGTTATAACCGACTTAAGAGGTTTATGCCGGGTAACCGACGATATAAAAATGTATTCGTCGATAGGGAAACGATTACATTACATACGCGAGAAAAAAAACCGCGGCAAATGCATACAAACACAGCACTACTTACCTACAATATTTCATACGTTTACGTAAACAGACGATAATGATTTTAATAACACGCGACGTAAACCCATACGTAGGATCCGCACCAGCAACCGCGGTCGGTCGCCGCCGGTGTAGAGGTATGGCCTATAATTAGGGAACCGAACCTATGCGCGGATTTTTGTTTTCGCTTTTTTTGGGGGGGTGGGGGGGGGGGTT